AGAAGGTACAATTAAAACAGTGTATCTGTATGCCCGAGCTGAGTGTTTCTATTATTCATTAACACATACTTGAAAGTAAGGGACATCCATCCATCCATTTTCCGATCCGTTTCCGCCTCACATGGGTCGCGGGGGGTGCTGGAGCCTATCCCAGCCCGTCTTCAGGCAGTAGGAGGGGGACACCCTGAACTGGTTGCCACACAGAGATGAACAACCATCCGCGCTCACACCCACACCTACGGACAATTTTGAGTGTTCAATCAGCCCGCCATGCATGTTTTTGGAATGTGGGAGGAAACCAGAGTACCCGGAGAAAACCCACGCAGGCCTGGGGACAACATGCAAACTCCACACTGGAAGGCCGGAGCTGGAATCGAACCCGGTACCTGTGCACTGTGGGATTCGATGCACTAACCACTCATCCACCGGGCCACCCAGTAAGGTACATCTTGTATAAATCATTGACATGTACAATGTTAAAAGTTAATGACCACAATCGCATTTATTGATTTTCATTTTCTGTTTGAGAGCCATCAGCTTGCTTCATATGATTGTCAGTGTGTTTGACAATAAGCGTGCCGGGCCCTGTTAGGGAGATTCACAAATCTGATGATGTGTCACTGCCGTGTCTGCAGGGATTCCCTTTTGTGTTGTTGATACGGACCAATATCAGCCATCTGTCAGGGACCCATTATTATTTTCCACCAGCAAGCAACAGCTAGAAAGGGGTCCTTCTAAGGGGGCTTCCCAGCACTTTGGTGTTAAGATAAGAAAATCTTTATTTGCAGTTTCTAAAGCAGTGCCATTGTTTTGTCATTGATATGGGTCAAAGTCAGCCGTTTCTCCTGCCTCCGTTTAGCTTGGGGGCCTGGTTGACAACATTTTTCCCTTTTTTTTTAATGGCTCTACTGCTATACAATATATACACACCATGTCATAAAGTCTCCAAGTGTATATAAAGTGAATTAAGCGAGAATAATCACCCTGGTAGTTGTAAGTAACGAAAGTACCCCCCATAAAATATAACTCGTACCATAATAAGACATTCTGGCAGCATTTGCCCTTGAGCAAAGATAAAGTTGAGCAGAGACCACGGTTATGACAGTTTAGAAAGGTAGAAACGAGTCGAAGGAACGGATCATAATATCGTACTCACCTTTCCCCCTGGGTGACTCTTCTCCTTCCGGCCCTTCCAAATCGTCAGCTGCGTCGCTCCATTACACCTCGCAGGAAGAAGAAACAAGTTGAAGCAAGGACGCGCGCAGCCACAGGTTGCTTGAGGCTTAATCGACAACGTGACCCGGCTGCAAATGACACGCGTGGGAGGTCTCGCCGGATGCCACCCGCTGGCCCCTCGCTGATGCGCGATCCATTGCAGTGGCTCTCAAAGTTGCTCGCGCGGCGCGGAGTTTGCGGCTTTTTGCGCACACAAGCGAACCGTTCCGATCGTCATCGTCGATTATGCATTTTCGTGCTGCACTGGACCCCCCCCCCCCTCCCTTTCGAGCGAAGAGAGACAAGCGTCCGATTAGGCCGGCTCGGGATGATGTGGGAGGAAGGAATCAGCGGGGGATCGGGAGTCGTGTCCGTGATGCAATGCGGGTAGCGCCGGCGCCGCGTCCTGCAGCTTTCTCCATGCGTGCAGAAACGCTGTCGCCCCGTTCATTCGCCGGGGAGCGGTTGTGTGCATTTGTCTTAATTTCTGCATTGTCTGCAGAGACAAGGGAGGGGAGGAGGGGGAAAACGATGTGTATATTCCCCCTTGCTGATTTCCCCCACTCCTTCGCCAATGCGCACGCAATGTCATTTGGGGAAGCGAAGGGGGGATGTCCTTATAGGTACCTACCTAATGGGTCTTCTCTTCACTGGGGCCTTAAATGACTTAATGCGCTTCTTAATACCACTAATGTCGTATCACAGTGATATGAACTACCAAAACCACAGTATAGCGTAAGACACGTGTGTCAAACTCAAGGTCCGGGGGCCAGATCTGGCCCGCCACATCATTTTATGTGGCCCGCGAAAGCAAATCAAAGACGGCAACTTTCATGATGCTTGCTAGAATCACAATCAAAATTTCAAATTCTCATTTGTCATAAATAATATTGTTACTGTAAACATTTTCTGAAACAACAGGTTAATAAACAATTATTTTTGACTTCTTTATATGGTTTCAGTCTTATCAGCCCTGCAAGAAAAATGGGAACTAAAATGTGGCCCATGACAAAAATGAGTTTGACACCGCTGGTGTAAGAGCAAAAGACATACCTGGTCTGCAACACTTCAGCATCAATATTTATCGAATAACAGAACCCAAACGAAACAAATGTGCATTGATCATACTACCAGAGATGGCAATTATTAAATTTATTTATGTGTGCAGATCGCTATAAATCTCCTCTTACTAGGCCAAGTCGGCTCTAACAAGATTTTGCTCTGACCAGCCAATTGATGGAAAAATGTGGCATCATGAAGTACAGTATGTGGACAGATGTGAATTATGATAGGTTAAATAAACAGTCCCATTGCTCATTTTAGTGGGAACGGAACCCAAGATATCAAAACGTATTGCATTTCAAATCGTACCTAGTCGCTCATAGGAGCCGCTATTTTGAAGTCTACAAATTTGCAAGAATGTGACATGATTCAGCCAATTACTGTCCAGTTTATTGGCTAAGAAAAAGAACTATACGGTTAGTAAGTATTCAGCAAAGACAAACCATATTCAATTTCATTCCATGTACAAAAGCCACATAATAAACAATGAAATGATGACCGCTGCATTGCTGTACATGTCAGCCATGCTTCACACACGTTTGAATGCCTAAATCCATCAGTATCTCCTCCGATCAAGAACAGCGCCTCGTACTGATGTCCACAATCGGTTATTTTGCTTCCATTATGGAACAAAGTGAAAACAAAAAATTGAAAATACAGTCAACCAGATGATATCGTCTAGCATGCGTGAGCCTAAAAAGTGATCTTTCAGAACTATTGCACATCATAATTTGAAAAAATGTAAAAGAAAAACATGAATATCAGGGCTTATGTGGAAACAAATACACATTTATAAAAGAATAAACTCAAACAAAAATTACAGATTTTAGTCATTTAGTCAACAAAATGCATAGTCGATGATCTCTTAACACAACCTTGGCCAGCAGTCCAGTCGAAGGCCTTGCTGAGGTCACCTCCCACCACTGCAACGAGATCTAAATTTAGGCATGATATGTTTCAATAATCCGCAAACAGCTTGGAAGGGGCAGGGGAGCGCAGTCAACAGACAAACTAATGATAAGACAAACACGGGTGTCGAAAATGAGGATGGATGGCACACCCCCGAGTGTTTTCTCCTGGCTGCATGCTTTTTTTTTTTTTTTTTTCAGGACGGCTGTTATAGCTCTTCAACCTGACAATCACATTACATCTTAGCTGTCTTCCAGCTGTGGCACCTGAGACAAAACAACCTGATGGATGCTGACTGATAATAGATGGCGGAAATACAAAGAGGATACGACATGGCAGGAACTATATGATCTAAACACAGATGAAGGAGCCATCCATTCTTTTTCTATATCGCCGATGTTCATTACGGTGGTAAGCCTGAGTCTATCCTACCTGGCTTTGGGCGACAGGTCAGGTACACCCTGAACTGGGGTACTGAAAATCCTATGGACTGATGGAGAACAAAATGTCCACTTTACTTGTGAGCTCACTTTGTAACCCAAAATTGTGGGAAAAAGTCAGAAAGCTGTAGTCTATAATTAAGCTGTGCATGAATTTAGTAGTAAAATCATTATGACAGCTCCGGTTTCCTCCCACATTCCAAAAACATGCGTGGCAGGCTGATTGAACACTCTAAATTGTCCCTAGGTGTGGGTGTGGGTGTGGGTGTGGGTGTGGGTGTGGGTGTGAGCGTGGATGTTGTTCGTCTGTGTGTGCCTTGCAATTGGCTGGCAACCGGTTCAGGGTGTCCCCCGCCTACTGCCCGAAGACGGTTGGGATAGGCTCCAGAATTCCCCGCGACCCTTGTGAGGATGAAGCGGATCGGAAAATGAATGAATGAATGGATGAATCATAATGACAGTAAATATCGTTTGATATTTATAACAGAAAAATTCCCGGTCTGGTATCAACACCAAATTTGGACGATCCGCTGACTCCAATTTTTCAGGGTTCTACATAACGACAACTTAGCCAAATTGGAGACTTGTGCACTTCGTGCGATGATGATCAGAAAGATGATGTTGTTGTGTGGGTTCTGTTAGGAATGATTTTTTTTTTTTAAATCCCCAATCGGAACCGACTATCATAAATGTTAAACCTGTTCAACATTTACAATTATAAAGCCTTGTGTGTGTGTGTGTGTGTGTGTGTGTGTGTGTGTGTGTGTGTGTGTGTGTGTGTGTGTGGTCCTTGATTGTAACTTGAAACAAATCACAAGGCAAATTTTTGGTTTCCAGATATAAACAGAGAAGCAATTGACTGTGAGTTTGTTTCAAGGGTCTCACAAGTCATTCCCGACGACTAAAAGCTCCACGAAGGGAAAGTAGAAAGGCAAAGACTGAAAGGCTTTAGCTGACATCGAAGCTCCTTTTGGGAGGCAACAGGGAGGGCATCACAGCTGTGTGTGGCCCTGATTGCCGGTCAAGGGAGGAGAAGCTCCTCGTCGGGAGGCAACAGGGAGGGCATCTCAGCTGTGTGTGGCCCTGATTGCCGGTCAAGGGAGTCAAACTATTGGCCAAGGGCTGTATTCTCAAAGAATATGCATTGGATCGACTTGATAGATGCACACGCATGTAGAATCTAAACTCTCCTCTTCCGGCCGTTTTGACGAGAGGTAAATAGCCTCCGGCATTGATGATTTGATGTCACTTGTGCAAATGGAGTCTTTCACAATCATAAATCATTAACCTTTCAGTCAGCCAGTGGGCAGTTCTGCGAGGACCAAAAATCTCCGTGGGTGGCAAAAATAAACACGATATCAATTTAAATCCAGTTTCGCTTCTATACGGTTTTAGTTATGCTGGAAAGTTGGAGCGCATCCTGTTCTCAGACAAGATAGCGCTCCCCCCTGCTGAATAACAAGGCTGGAAATCAAGTAGGGGAGAAAACAAAAGGAAACGCGGCTCCTCTTTATGAGACCTCGCTGTGGACATGGGACATTTTCCAACTGACTCATCTTCTTAATGGAACAAATGTGGACTTATCGAGCGTGGCAAAGCAGGGCATGGCTTTAAGCAGTGAGTAACGGGAGTTGTACTTTGCGGCTCAACGGGACTCGGGGCTTTGCTGTGATTCGGCTTCAGTGTGTCTTCGTGTGTTCGTCCAGGACTCCTGCTGCTATGTGTGCTAGCCTCTCAAGTGTCGTATGCCGGAAGCAAGCCCATTGACTTTGTGTGCAGCCGATCGGCAAGGAGAGCAATGAACATTGTGGCAGAGATGCAGACTGCGCTGGTGAGGCTTCTCGCTGAATTTTATATCACTCTTTGGGGTACAGTTGAACCACCAGTCAATTGTGATTAAAAAAAATGCTCTTATGGGAATCAATATTTATGGAAAGAATCATTTCTAGAGTCAATTGAGCCATCTCAAAAGCCTTATTAAAAGCAATTTCTGAGTAATATTTCACACTCTTAGTTATCATTGAAGTTTATATTGCTCATCGTAACCCATTAAAACACAGGTGGAAAACACAAAGGGGGGAAGTTGGGGAGAAGTCAGATCCGGCCCCCAACATCATTTAATGTGGCCCAATAAGCAAATCATCTGTGTCTACTTTGTTTCTTGTGCAAATCTGGACCAAAAATGTATATTGTCCTGCTGTACTCATGCTTTTTTTTTTCTTTTTGTGTGTGTGACAAGACCACTTTTGAAAGTCACTTTTCTCACAGGCCACATCATTTCCCTCAGTCCCTCAGGGGACTATTATGAAGTTATCAAAATGGTATACTTCCCAACATTGGACTTTTGTTATACTGCATACTGTATACCAGGGGTGTCAAACTCATTTTTGTCGCGGGCCACATTTTAGTTACCGTTTCCCTTGGAGGGCCACATAAAAAAGTCAATAATTACGCTTTATTTCACAATTATTTAAATTACTGTAATGAGGTGTTTGGTAGCAAGAAACTGCTGACAATATGTGTCTTATTTATTAAATATGAGAATTTTAAATTTTGGTAGAGATTTTAGCAAGCATCATGGAAGTTGACATGTTTGATTTGCTTTCGCGGGCCACATAAAATAATGTGGCGGGCCAGATTTGGCCCCCGGGCCTTGAGTTTGACACCTGTGCTGTATCTTCTTAACAACAAACTAAATTTGAAATCAGAAGTCACGGCAAGAGTAGCTAGCGAGAGAGACAGCGAGAGAGACAGACAGATACGGTAGATAGCTCTGGTGGCGCTTTCTTTTTTTTTTTTTTTTTTTTTTTTTTTTATTGGCTGCCTCCTGATGACATCGCTTCTCGGTGACCCTCTCAATAAGAGAACCACAACTCTTAAGACGGCTGCTCGATCATTCATCTTGCGCAGAACGGCCGCGCGGTTTTACCCAAATTGTATTTCATCTCAAACTCACCGGTGCGTATTTCCACTTCCAAAACTCCATCCTGGCAGAACAACTGCAACAGTTCCACCATCCTGCCCACGCCAGTTCAACTGCCCTGCACGGAGCTCCACGTAGCATCTTGGGAACGAAAATCCGTATGTTAGTGCACCCATCAGTCAAGTGATAATTCAATTTATTTCATTCACTCTCAATAATATCCTCCTATAATCAAATGTGGTTTATCTGTGTGTCCGTTTCCACAGCACCACGAGAGGAGACAAGACATCAGTGCATCGTTGAGGCATCTTTTTGAGAGTGTCAAGGTTGCGAGGCCCATCGGCCAGGCGGAATGTGGTTCAGTGCTTTTGCTGAGACTGGAACGTAACATCAACAGCTACCTCCTCATCCTCACACATCTTCAATTGAGTGTAAGAGGTTGTCAAGGTGACATAATTGCAGTCGCGAAAAGCACTAACCACTCATTCTGTGATTTGTTGGTCAAATGCACTCAGACTGTCCAGCTCTGGAGACGATGTTTACAATTTCAGCGAACAAATTATTAAAAAAAACTAACTAACAAAAAATTCTTTCCACATGTAACCTCAAATCACCAAAATCATTGCTTACTAGTCCAGCCTTCATTTTTTCACTCATACAAACACAGTGAGTACTGATTAAAACAATTTTCACATAGCCTGCAGGGGAATTACGTGTCACTGGGTTTCACTTTGTACTCTGCATCGGATTCAGAGGCATTATCAGTTTCATAAGGTATGGAAACATCCGGGCTTCTGGTAAATCCAAGCTTTTCGGATTCACCGGTGCTCTGGGAACGATGTTGGGTAATGTTTTGCAACCCCAAAGGCTTCCTTCCTCAGGACAAGACAAAGATAGGAGTGCATACTTTCCACATGAGACCCCTTGAAAGTGTGATCCAAACGTCCTCTACTCTGTGTTTTATGTAGTTGAAAAATCTACGCGAGTGAAGTCTGCGGAGTCAAACAAAATCTGTTCCATAAGCACGGTTGACTTCTGTTGTATGTATGTAAATTATACCACTTGTTTGAATTTAGAGGTGTCGCTTTCTATGATTTTCACCCTTCCCTTTTTATGCTTATAAGCAAAGCAAAACATACCAACAATCGGGCAGAATTTGAGCATTTCCGATCAAAGCCAGCAAAGACTTGATTGTTGGATGTCTTGAAATGATTATACTGTGATGAGGGGAATTTGAAGAATGATTTTTTTCCTTCCTTCCTACCAAAGTCAGCAAATGTCAGATTACCAAGTGTCTCTCAAGATTATTTTAAGCGATTATCCTGTGGTTTGGGATGTGTTAAGAATGTGTTTTCCTTCACTTGTGATCAAAGTCAGGCAAGCCCAGAATATTAGATGTCTGTCAAAGAGATAATACTGTGACGTTGGGTGTGAGAAAGTGATTTTAACCCTCTTGACTGTTGTGTATCCTGTTAGGAGCAGCAGGAGGCAGTGGAAAGCACGGAATCGTCTTGTGTTCCTCGAAGTACTCGCAGTCTGAGCACGTTGCTGCTCAGCTACAGGCGGCTCATCACGGGAAAACTGGAGCGGTTGATGATGAGCCTGGAAAGCGAATGTACTCTCCAGTCATGAGAGGAGCATCTCCAACAAACCAACTTTTCATCTGTTCAGCCCCAATGATGAACACTGCGAAAAAAATGGAGCTTTATCCAGAATTGGAAATCTGCGAGGATGTTGCTCATCACAGAGCTGAAGGCATGTTGTTCTTCTTCGGACTAACTAGTTGAGTCAACTGAATTGCATACCTAACAAACAGCCACTGTCAAGTGGTTGTAGCCAATTAATGCACTCCATTTTTTCATCTTTCTTTAAAGGAGCCATTTTATGTATTTTTTTGCCCCCTGCCATTTAAAACAGCTCCCAGGTTCATTAATAACATGTCTGCCATGTCAATAAATACACCAAGGGTAAAAATGATAGACCCTTTACACACCCTTATCATGCCTTGTTGAAATTAGCCCATTTTCAGTGGGTGGTCCTATCTCAGGGAAGAGAGCCAGCCACTGGAAGCCCATCCCCATATAATGATGGGCAAATGGCAAGTGTGGAGTTTTGTTTTTTTTTTTTTTTTTTTTTACAATGACAACCGTTAGTGGAGACATGTGACTGAATCTGCAAGCAAGCGGCTTCGAAACTTCACCACACAAATATCATATCACCCCCACCAATACCCCAATAACTTGTGCCGTTTATCAGAAGCGACGTTGGCTAATCTGTGCATTCAACATTGCAGCTTTGCTTACCTTTCGGCTTCGACACGACAGCAGTGCATCTACAGGGATGTAGGTGTTTCTGTGCAACTGTGTTTGAGACAGTATAGTTTGACGGTTGCCTGAAAGTGGCTCTAGATCTTCACCCAGCCCAGCTAATCATGTCATGTGCATTGAAATTCTGCGAAGGGATGGTAAAATGTAAACAAGCCATTTGTGATGTTACACTTCAGCTAATTTACATTTTTAAAAAATCAAAAAAGGCTCACTCATAGACACATTTTTAGAAATAAGCAGATGACAAAAGACTTACATGTTTTTTTAATTTTACACTTGAGGGGTGGACAGGCACTCCAGAGACCCAATTATTTGTATACAAGCCATTTTAAAGTCAATTTTCCATATGTCTCCTTTAAGACTGAATTCCACCGAATCTACAGAATTGTTAATGATCAACGCGTCATTGAATCAACTATTATGCCCATCTGGTAGTTTTGCAGAAATGCAGACATAATAAGCGAGAAAGTTAATTAAATGAATCACATGAATGACATTGTCAAAACTCAGGCATGACTGACGCTTTCAGTGAATTTAACTGGCATGTCGAATAGACAATGAGCTAAATTAACTTGACATGACACGCGGAATCATTGTAAACCCACAAACATGAGAACAAGAGAATGTTTCTGGTATAAAGTATTCCCGGTGGACTTCTTTTATTTATGTTAATATGAATCGTCCTTAAAAACATTCTCTAAATTTATATGAATGATAATTTGACAATATCACATTTACAATCAATAAAGTATTTTTTTCAGCATGTAGACACGCAACATGGAGACATGCAACATGGTTTTGTGTGTTTTTTTCATTTTATCCTAATTTCAGCAAAAACCAGCCGTTTTAAAAGCCATCCATGTTCTACAAACCCTAATCCTCATTGGGTGACTTGAAGCCATGTAGCTATATGATGGAAAATATTACAAATAACCATTTAAGTATTGTTATTTGAGTTTCGGCTTAATGAAGCGAAATAGAAAATTAGTTTAAAAAAAATAAACGTCATGATCAGCATTTAAGGAAGTGACGTCACATTCCCAGCCTCATTAGCATTTGCACACCTTGCTCACCTGCTGCGGCCGAGCGCAGCTCATTTGGTTCAAAATTACAACACATTTCCACCGTAGTAGAGAATTTTTAATCATTAGGGGGCAATTAATCCTTGGAATGTCCGAGAAGGCTCCTCTTCACAATTATCGACTCAAAACAAGCACCGATCCGGAGTCGAAGGATGAGGCCGCAAACAGTCGGCCCAAGCACGGCGGAGACCGTGGCGGTAGTGGGTTCGTCTCCAAAACTGATAGAAAGCTCGGCGTAGTTTTCGGAGTTGTTATTCCGACGTTGCTGTCAATGTTTAGTGTCGTCGTCTTCCTGCGAATTGGTAAGTAACAAAAAAAAAAAAAAAACCTCTACTTGTTAAAACTATATGAAAGCGATAATAATGTCTCGTCGAGTATTTAACATTTTTAGAGTTGGCTTAAAAAAAAAAAGCAAACGTTATAGTCAGATGGGGAACCAATTTGAGTCAACATTTTTTTTTCTCATGATTAATTGTCGTTTGTATTTTTATTTTGTTTAATTCCCAGTTGCGGTTTTGAATATAATTTGCTCAAGTAATTATCGCTTCTGTTGTTTCCTGCGGACTAATTAAAGCAAGATGATAAATTACCCTTGACAAATGTGATTTAGAGTTTCAGCAAAATGAATAATTGTTCCCGGAAAGCTAATGATTCTACTATTAATTAGTCTGTAATTAAATAATGATTATAGCTGTATGGAAATTATTTTCAACCAAAATAATGACACCCACCCCATGTTTATGATTGCCTGTTTAAACCCTAAATATACCTGAACTATGGTTGCAAAACACTTAAATATCATATCAAACTGATCTTTCAAAATTACCCTTGACAATATTTGTTTTTAACTTCATTGGAAGTACATACAATGCATACAATATATTTAACGCAGAAATATTCACGAGGTACTGCCCTTTGCACTGCGTCATCTTTAGAGGTTTGCACCACCCTGCTTTCTCGAGTATCAACCCCACAGGGAGCCTTTCCTTTTTGTGGTATTTCTACACTGTTACTCACTGTACATTCAAACTCATTCTTATTTCCCTGTAGGATTTATTGTGGGTCAAGCAGGCCTGTACCAGACCTTCGCCATGTTCTTGGTGGCCTACATCATCATCACAATGACAGTCTTTTCCATCTGCGCCATCTCAACTAATGGAGCCTTGGATGCAGGAGGTGCCTACTGTATCCTTGAGTAAATCTGCATTTTGAGTGCTAATGTGGTTATCTGTAACGTGAGTGCTGCTGATAATTGTCAGGCTTGCTCTCCATTCAGGATTTTTACTCTCCTAGTTAACATACTCTGCATTTATTTTGTAATTTCACCCTTGATGGATGGGCAGGCACTCCAGAGACACAACACTTTATCTACATCAATTTAAAAAGTCAATTTTTCAAAGTATGACTCCTACAATTGCTTAATGATGGCCTTCAGACATGATCAGTCGAGCGCTGGGTCCGGAGTTTGGGGGCAGCATTGGAATCATGTTTTTCTTTGCCAACGTATGCGGTAGTGCTCTCTACATTTTAGGTCTGGTTGAAGCAATCATGTCTGCTTTTGGCATCCCTGAAGGTTGGTTGTTGTCAGAATAACGTCACATTCAGGGGCATTACAATGTCTGGCTAACCAACTCATTGTTTCACATTCGTTCCAGCGTCAGAGCCCGCGCCGGTTTTTGGAGCCTCCCATCGGGTGCTGCCCTCAGGATACTGGTGGTCTTTGCTTTATGGCACTGCGCTGCTTTTAATTTGTTTCTTTGTTTGCTTGGTGAGACACAACGACATGCCATGTGATTTCATTCAGTCATTTCAGTAGAATCTTGAAGGTTGAATGCAATCCGATGGGATGCTGACTGACTGGAATTATTTGTATTGCACAAAAATGGAAATTGTAATCTGTCAAAACCTTTTGCACTTTTTTAGAACTTAGCGGTAACTTGACGGCCATACAGTTGTGAAATGATCAACCGCTGTTGACTTCGTGCCTGATGTGGCTTTTAATTTTAGTAATTAATTATTTGTATCACTGGTCGGTTGATTTAAAGTTGTAAAAGCTATGAAAATTCAAATATAGAAATAAGGATAAAAACATCTCCCACTGTCCTTATTATTATTATTATTATTATTTTTCAATTAATATTTTTTACTGACTTAACATGCTGAGTCAAGTTTTTTTTTGGGGGGGAGGTAACGATTATCGAAGTTTAAAAATACTTTATATGGAATAAAATGTATATGCACAAGTCTGGTATGACATGTTGATGGATGATATCAACCAAAATCCCAACGTTTGTCTCCCCCCAAAAACTTGGGTCCCTTTCTAAACTAAACAACCGATAGAACGGTCGAATGTGGAGGTTCCACTGATCAATATGGCATACTTATTTTTTCAATTTGCATCTCATGTCAAAATGACTTGTGATTTTCAGATAGGCGCCCACATCTACGCCAAAGCCACTTTTGTCATCTTCGTCATCGTCACAACTGCCCTGGCATCCATCTTTGGCAGCTTCTTCACTGTGGATCCCAGGATTGTCATGCTTCCAGATTCCTCCTTTATGAACGCTTCCACTCAGATCACTGCCAACTATACCGGCCTCCGAGTACATACCTTGGAGGGCAACCTATGGGGTGTGTCCGTATGCCCGAATGTCGACCATAACAATTCTTCATAACCTAGCCAGAACTGATTTTTGTTTCTCGTACCAACCCAACTAAATGAATGTGTTTCCTTGTAGCTAGTTACACTGTCGACTACACCACTGGAACCATGATGAGCTTTGCCACCGTTTTTGCAGTGATGTTCAACGGTTGCACTGGAATCATGGCTGGATCCAACATGTCAGGTAAGGAGTGTCATTTATTTACTGGTATACAACAATGAAAGCGACACTGACTCACCCCTTGGCTTTTTTTTTTTACATGGCGTTCCTCATTCTCTCCAAGAACACATTTTTTTCATGATTGTGACACACATTTCCAAGGTTTGATTGTAATGACTTCTGTATTTGTGTCGCCAGGTGACTTGAAGAACCCCAGTTTTTCCATCCCCAGAGGAACCTTGGCGGCGGTTTTTACAACATTTGTCACATACAACATGCTAAGTCTGCTGGCTGCGTCATCTTGTGAGCGGTTTGTATCACCATGAGAGAAATATGCTCAAATCACAAGCCGTATTCTGAGCCTGAAGTCCGCAGTCAGGGGAAGATGGTGCCTTGAGAGTGTCTTCAGGTCAATTTCAAACAGATTTAACCATAACAAGAGTTGAACCTTAACTCCTCCTCATGAGAGAGAGCCGGCAGTGTTGAGCCGACTGAACCGCAAGTCCTTCTTCTTTTTGAAGTCGCTGACATTTTAACTCGGTAGGGATGAAACAGATCATATCCGTGAAATCTTCACTTTGAAAACATCAATACAAAGGTAGTTCAGAATGTCTGTCTATAAAATTATATGTGTCATTTTTACGCAAAGACATAGGTACAGTAATTGCCAACGGTGACTGATACTATTGATTGATTTATTGAACATGTACCGGTAAATGCAAAATGAAAGACATTTAAAAAAAAAAATCAGAGAAAAAAATGTATTGGCTCAGTCCAGTTTATATGCTCACAAGGAGTAAGAAGGAGAAAAACGTATCTAGTCATACCTGTTGTTCTCTATAAATTACTAATAATCAGGATTCCAGGCAAATATTCAAATAGGCTATTCACAAATCTGTACCAGTATATGTCCCAAATAAGAACAAAAAAAAAACAGCGCTTCTCTTTACCTATCTTCAAAATAACTGTACATATGAGCGTGATGTGTAAACCCCATTATTCACTATATTTGCAATAAATAGAAACAAAAAAAAAACAAAGGAAAATATGGACAGACGTGCCCCTTTATACCTATCTATAGATCATCTATTTCATAAACTAAAACCTCAAGACTTTAAAGTTGTCACGCGAGGGGCGGAATTAGGACCTGGGAGCAGACGTGACACGGAAGTTGAAAAGTAAACGTTTTTAATCGATGAAAATACAAAGTAACTAGATCCATCTTTAAGGCAGTAAGAGTGTTCTGTACTATAAAGTACTGTATATTCACAATCGTCTTTTCCAGATTGGCACACAATGAATTCTATCCATGCATTTTTAGTGCCATTCTCCAGAGAGACTACAGTTTCCTTGGAGCCATCAACGTTTGGCCGCCTCTGGTCACAGTTGGTATCTACTCGTCGGCCATGTCCGCCGCCATGAGCAACCTAATCGGAGCCTCCAGAGTCCTGTATGCGTTATCTAAAGATGACTTGTTCGGTGAGACAACCATTTTGTGTGTCCTAAATCTGTGGCTTTAAAAACTGGGGTCTCCCTGAGCTGTAATTTCAGGGTCTGTAAAATAATTTGCAATAAATTCCGTTGGATCTTTTAAAAACATGCATATAGAAAAAATTGCGAGCAGAACAAAATTGAAGGCAATGACTAGTTTGGATTATGATGGGTCCTTTCGAATACATTTTTGCCCATGAAGACTCCCCCCCCCCCTCCCCCGACCCCACTCAAAATGGTTGAGAACCCCTTTCTTAGATGTCTGCTTTGGTACTGCATGTGGCAGCAAATTTGACAGGAGTTGATTCATCCCCTGACAGTTTCCTGATGTGTGAAAGGATAAAACGAGTTGTCAAAAGTTTAGGTGACGCTCACTGCTCAGGTTCCACCCCAGCTGACCCCTGTGTGAAAAGCATTTTCATAGCCGGCAGTCTGTGAGCAATGGACCCGAGTTATTAACTTCATGTTTTGTTTTCCTGATAATGCCGTGTTAGTTTGGAATGCGTCATTTGACAGCAGATGGCTGGCGGTGTTGACTTTCTCTGCAGAAACACGAATCCCATCACAGTGTGTTTTGCTTAAGCACCAACGCCGCGTGACTCAGTTGTTTGTCTCATTGAAAACCACATGAGCGGCAACAGACAGGCGTGATTTGCGTTTGTGACTGTGCCTTTTGAAAACGGCTACAGGCGGTGTCTTGGCTCTGGCAAGGAAGACGTCCCGCAGTGGCAACCCCTGGGCCTCGGTGCTTGCCTCTTGGTTGCTTGTCCAGGTAAAAGTGTAGTGATGATTCGCTTACCTTTCTATGTAAATATGTTTGTTTGTATCTGTCGGGAAGAAACCTACTGTCCAGATTTGGTCTGATTCTTTTTTTTTTTTCATAAATTGATGCTATTGGTCAGTCCCCACATGGGTTCTTATTTATGATCCAGTATTTAACTACTCAAAAAAAGATGCCTTTTTAAAGATTTCCTGAAAATCATGGCTTTGGACATGGAAGGAATCTGCCCAAGAGCAACTGTATCTACAGAGTGGTGCTTTGATTTAAAAGTTTAATTCATTATCAGACTTCGTAAAACAAAATAATCTCAAATCTTCCTGCTCTGTTGAAATAAATGAAAATCCCTTTCCTTGCAAAAAGCCAACAAAAAAATGTGTAATAATTTCAGTCAGAAAAGTAACACTGTATGACATTATACTTTATACAACCATTCATTCATGACATAATTCAACAGGCTGTAAAGAAATGTCAATTTTGAGAGTTTTTGCCTCAATGGACATTGTGCTACTCATTCTGATGTTTGCCTTGGCCACCTGGATTCGGTATCATACAGACATCTTTTACACACAAAGAAGAATTTCACAACTGGCTTAGATGCAACAGAACATATACTTGTGAGGATTGTTGTTTTGTCCATGGACGTGTTGCACCACCATTTGTTTTCAAATATCTGTTGCCGGAACGATTTGAAACATCGTCTTTGGTGCTTTGGTTTGTTGGCATTTAGCCAAATGCACGTCAAAAGGCAATACTATGTGGTGGTTAGAAACGCACGTGGAGGTCTTTGTTTATTTTGAAAGCAAACTGCAACACTGAAGGCCATTAAACTGATTCAAGCCACTTTTTTTGAAGAAGGAAGAAAGAATTGTTCACGATGTAGCAAAATCCATCCAAACAATGGCATGTGCCTGGTATCTCATGGCACCACTACCCACAAAAAATATTTAGGATTAATGCAAATTACATTTTCAAAGCTTTTTGGGGGGGTTAAAAAGTAATAAGATGGGAATCCAACTAATAAGATGCACACAAATTATGAAACTGTTATCATTGGCACATCATTTGACTCATCCATCCTTTTTTTATATTTACAATGGAGCAGTGTTCTTGCCTCAATTTTTTTTTTTTTTTTTTTGTCATTGTATAATGTTCTGACTCATCTTGAAAATGCGTTACAGCACGCACGTCTGTCCACCCCTCATCACAAAATTATTAAACTGTCCCAAACGTCAGGTGAAAACGTTGCTTTGTTTGTCACTAGATGGTGCTGTTTGCTGGGAAATTGAACACCATTGCCGGAATTGTGACCATCTTCTTTTTGTTGGTGTATGCCACCGTCAACCTTGCCTGTTTGGCTCTGGAGTGGGCATCTGCGCCAAACTTCAGGTAGGGCACGGAGACTGAGCAGTTGATTTCGTCTACACTGTGTTCCAAATTATTTAGTTGCAGTTCTTTTTAGATAACTGCTACAGATATCTGTAATGTTTCTGTCAATATCCCTTTAATTCGGCACATTTGGGAATTGATAAAACCTGGTGGAGACTAAAAAACTAAAACGGTTTATTCAACCTAAATCCTACGTGTATAATTTGGAACACAAGGTGTACACTTTCTGCCTTGAATCTTGATTCATGCCTCATGTTGGTAATGGCTGAAAATATCCCGTTTTTGTCCTCCCCCGCATTGAGGCCTTCCTTCCGTTGTTTCACGTGGCACACCTGTTCCCTGGGCATCCTTGGCTGCCTCGTCATGATGTTCCTCATCAATGCCATCTATGCTTTTGCCAGCATCGCATTTATGCTGCTCCTCCTAATGCTCATTCATTATCTTGGCCCCATCAGTAACTGGGGCTACATCAGCCAGGCTCTCATCTTCCATCAGGTGCGCACACACAGAACTCCATCTTCAATCAGGGCTTTTTTTTGTTTTGTTTTGTTTTTTGAGTCACCTCATTTAATTTGAGTCTAATCTTCTAAAAAAAAAAAAAAAACTTGTTTTTTGAGTCACCTCATTTCATTTGAGTCTAATCTTCTAAAAAAATAAAACCCTCAAATGTTTGATTTTTTTTTTTTTAAAAAAAAACACTCAAATGTTAGATTTTTTTTTTTTAAATTTTAATATTTCAATGCATTTTTATCTTCAATTCTATATCCACCTTACCACTTGTTCCTGCTCAGGTCCGCAAGTACTTATTGATGCTGGATGTGCGCAAGGACCACGTCAAGTTCTGGAGGCCTCAAGTGCTCCTAATGGTGGCCAACCCCCGTAGTTGTGTGGGCCTGATAACTTTCACTAATGACCTGAAGAAGAGTGGCCTCTATGTACTGGGTCATGTCAAACTGGGATTGCTAGGTAATATTTTCTGCCTTTTTTGGGGGGGGGGGGGCAACTCTTGCTGCGTTTGAATGATGCCTACTCCAAATGATTCACATTTCCACGCATGGATTGAAGCTGAGGATGGAACCGTCATTTGACTTTGTGTCCCTGTCTCTGCAGACGAGAGGCCGTCTGATCCTCTGCAGAGCTGTTACGACTCCTGGCTGTCGTTGGTGGACCATTTGAACGTCAAAGCTTTTGTTAACCTCACATTAGCCGACTCTGTTCGACATGGAGTTCAGCACCTTCTTTTCATCACAGGCTTTGGTGGGTGTGCACGTGTTTTTGTTGTACAGTAATCTTCTTATATTCACGGTGCCAAGGGACTCAGCCTAGCCATAAATAGTTCAACAACTTGAGTAATTGACGCTGTCGAAAAATGTCATGCGCCACTGAAAAATGTTAAATATACAACAAACCATAAACCCCCCAAAAAAAACTTTAATACTATTCTTACAAAATTACGCTAAATGATTTCAGATTAAAACAAGCTGCACCAGCAAAAACATACACACATGTGGACAAAACTAACAAACCTGGCTGAACTTGGCTCCTCTCTGAGTTTAGCTTTCTGAGTCTCTGAAAGCTCATACGTCATATACTGTGACACCAATTACCATTTTCCTGTTAGCTTGTGCTTTGGCACCATCTTGTGGCTTTGTGGGGTGTCATGGAAAGAGCAAAAGGGATTATGTTGTTTAAAAAAATGTGTGTGTGTGTGTGTGTGTGTGTGTGTGTGTGTGTGTGTGTGTGTGTGTTTATTTATTTATTTATATTTCCTGACTAAATGTAGCCCCTCTCCTCACTTCAACATTGTTCCTTGGCACCTACAGTAAATGCCACAAAATGTCTCCAAAGCAATAATTTTATACTAGACAGGAATTTAGGTTCATCTGTCTGTGAATAATGGAGGATAGTTTCCCCAAAAAGTCAGTGAATAGGTGAATGTCTGAGCTACGAATATGCCAGCGGTAGCTTCACTGTCTTTGTTTTCATGACCTTGAAGGTGACTCGATTTGGACTAAAGCTAAAGCCAGTATTGTGACATTTCCTAGGTGGGATGAGGCCGAACACTCTTGTCTTAGGTTTCTACGATGACTGCCCCCCTCAAGACCACCTCCAAGACAAAGTTATTTTACCTCCAGACCACAGCTTGGATGCAGTGTGTCCCAACAAAGACCCGGGAGAACCTCCGTTCCCTTTTTTCCCAAATGTACGTGATACAGATAAACCTAAAGACATCAAGGAAGAGGAATATGTGTCAATTATTAATGACGCTATAAAAATGGGCAAGAACGTAACCCTTGCACGATACTTCAGCCAGTTCAACAGGGAAGAAGTTTTAGGATTGGGGAAAAAGACAAAGACTCACCAAGGCACGGCGGGCCCGTTTGTAGACATTTGGCCGCTGAATCTGCTGCAACCTGACATCCGCGGCTACGTGGACGTCTGCTCGCTGTTTTTGCTTCAGTTGGCTTGTGTACTTCACGAAACCCGCGCCTGGAGCCAGGCCAGGTTGCGCCTTTTCCTGTGCGTGGAGGCCGGCGGGAGTTTGCGGGACGAGGAGGCGGCCAAGCTGCGACGAATGCTCAAGGAGCTCCGGATGTCGGCGCAAGTTCAGACGGTGGATTGGGACCAGGTGGTGGCGCTGCACTGGCTAAGACGAGGAATGGAAAAAGACGAGGGGCGAGGTACGAAAACAGATGATGGACATCATGAAGCGTCTCCCAGCAATGAGGCACAACTGACAGATGAGTACATCCACGCAGTCAACGATCTGATCCGAAGCCACGGGGCCCCCCCGCCGGCTGTGCGCTTCCTGTATTTGCCGCACCCGCCCGCGGATAAAAGCCGCTACGGGGCCTACCTGCGTCAGGTGGACCTGCTGAGTCAGGATTTGGGTCCCACGTTGCTCATCCACGGAGTCACACCAGTTATCACAACGGACCTCTAGAGCACTTTCGCAACCTTTATTGAGCCAGGAAACGCAGCTCACCAATCAGTCAGTGTCATCCAGTCAACGTTTGGAACCACTGCTTGAGAATGTCGATTTTTCAGCACTGCTATTTTACTTTGGAGTCAAACGCCTGTCACTCACTTCTCAAGACGCCTCGAAGGGTTTATGAAGAATATATCATGAGATCATTGGGGCTGTATGGTGAAATGAAATGGATTTGCATGTTTTTGTGGTGGAAGGAACTAAATGTGAATGTTTTTAGGTTCCTCCTTCACTCGATATAGTAAGTACAGTTCCCACATTGGTATTGATTGCGTTTTGTATACTTGATCGAAAAAATAAATTCAAGTAATTAGTATCTTCTTTCCTTAGATCGTTGAATGGGCAAAGCTTGCCGCTGGGCAAACATTTATTTACTGATGCAAAAAAAAATGATGTAAAAGAATGCAAAGTATGGTTGTAAAGAGTTTTGTATAGTTTATTAATTGACCCATCGTGTAGTCGAATAAAACATGTTGAATGTATTTATTTTTGTTTCGGACTTTTTCAATTTTATTTCCAATCATTACATTGTTTACATATATGGTCATGTCGGTGGTTCTTGTGAAGCTAAACATTTTCGGTGTTACTTGGTGTAAAGTCTTGAGAACGTCAACCCCCTTAACAATTAAAAAAGTCTCTTGGGCTTTTTATGGCGAGCCCGCTAGAGTCCATATTAACTTCACTTGAGCGCAAGTGACGCAGTTAGTCATTTGGTGGCGGGCAGTGTGGAAATTTCTCCCTTCTGACGTCGGTCCAACGCCATCTGCGGCATATGTCGTGCAGCGCGAGAACACTCGCCTTCACATGCGCTTGTACAGAGGAGGCTTTGACACCTGCCTACACAAAAGTGACAAACTCTGTGTGGGAGGGGGTACGCTCACAGATGGAGGCAGATCTGGCTCCAAGTAGGCCTACTATTAATTAATGCGGCATTGAGAGTGAAGCCACGTGGGCCTTTGGAGATGAGCGTTAAGATAATGGCCACGAGTACAAAATAAAAAAAGCTGCCTCTTACCCTTTTATATAAAAAATAATGGCTTAAAAAAAATCCAAGTTGTCGATAGGTATGAATGTGAGTATACCTGACAGGTTTTCATGTCTATATGTGTAGCTGGCTGGCGACCAGTCCAGGGTACCCCGCTTCTCACCCAAGATCAACTGGGATAACCTCCGCTATATCAGGACAAATGGGTGATAATATAATTTGAAGGGACATTTACAAGCAACACCAACGCCACGAGTCAACACGTCAGACTGGTTCCTGCAAGTCTAACGTGTGAGGTTCTGCCTCCTCCTGTTCGCTAACGTCAGCTTCCGGCTGCCATAATTACAGTTGTTTGCTCACAGCCTCCGTTGGCAAGCATCCTCCCCTCCTGAGGAGGAGTTGAGCATCCTGTCGTCTGCCTGCATTTCTTACTAGCCAATCCTGGCTCTCTCCAAAACGTTTTTAGGGGTTGAGCATCATAGCATGGAGCGTATGTTGCACACTGTGATGCCATCTCTTGACCTTTTCATCCTTACAAAGAAGTTTTGTTTTTTTGTTTAGATGTTTTTGCTAGCGTGAGAATAAAGACCTGTTTGAGACCTAAAACAGAAACAAAAGGATCTGGATTTTAAAATTCTAAATTACAGAGGCAGCCAGTAAAGGACGCCAGAATTGGAGTTAATTTATATGCTCCCTCTTACGTGCTCCAGTTAAAAGTAAATACTCACGTGGTTCATTAGTTCTGTTTAAGTGTTCCGGATTAGTTTTGTTGGATGAGAGATTCACGTAATTGGCAAGAGATGGCAGCCACCTCGGCCTCCTCTGTGCCATGGCATCTCCCTCAGTCCGCCCCCTCACACCAAGGATGCCTGTCTCCTCACCGCACACGCCGATTTGTCATTTTCACACGACGACGAGTGATTCATTTGTGTCGTTTCGTCATCTGTCTTTCCAACTGTGGATGGTTGCCTTTTCCTGGATAATATTTTTGTTTCCGAGATCTAAATAGTTCAGTGTACGTCACTGACATAGTTCATAGTTTGTCGATTCTGAAACTAGACTCCTTGTAGTGTGGCGCCCTCATGTTGGTCAGTGGAGACTTTATGTTCCTGAATTAGTGAAGACTGTGCAACAAGCAATAAAAGTCATCTCATAATATGTCATATTTAAACGTAAAGGGAACTCTTGTATATTTTGAGGAGAAAAGGTCTTTCATCATTATTATATATTAAGTTTTACATTTGATCTTTTGTACAGAACTTTGTAACAGCTGGGGGCGGGGGTGTTGTTGGGGTTTTTTTTTTTTTTCACGTGTGGTGTAACTTGAGCAAGTTGGGCAATTTATTGACCTTTGCAGCTCCCCCCGCCCCCCCCCAAAGCACCAAGCAAGAAATGTCGCTCGTGTTAAAGTTGTAACTCAAATGTTGAAGTGCATGCATGCATTTTTCCTTTGAATGTGGCAACATTTTCACCGTCACACAAAAAAATGAAACCGATTTGCCACACCCACACCTAGGGACAATTTAGAGTGTTCAATCAGCCTGTCATGCATATTTTTGGAATGTGGGAGGAAACCGGAGTAATATACAATAATATTAATAATACATTTCATTTATAAGCGCCTTTCAAGACACTCAAGGACACTTTACAACCAAAACAAGAATAATAAAACCACAAATAAAATTATATAAACAATAAAAGGAGAGATGAATTTAAACTGAATATGCGATTTTAAATTCCGATTTTAAATAGTTGACGCCGGCAACATCGCCATTGCGAGGAGCACTAGCCAACCCAGCCAGTCCGGCCAACACGCCGTGGTCCGTGGAGTACCCGGAGAAAACCCACACAGGCTCGGGGAGAACATGCAAACTCCACACAGGGAGGCCGGAGCTGGAATTGAACCTTGTACCTCTGCACTGTGAGGTCGACGTGCTAACCACTTGGACTACTCCATAAAATGACTTTTTTTGTTTGTTTGTGTAATTTCAGACTTTGTGGGTGGGAAGGCATTCCAGAAACCCAAATATTTGTATGCAAACAAAGAAAAATTTTAAAAAAGCCAGTTTCCCATTAGATGTCCCCATTTAAAATTGTTGTGCAGGCAAGCAATTTTCAAGTGTTGCTTCTTTTTCAAAAACTGACTACCATACTGAATTTTGGCATCTGTATGCTCCAGTCCTTATGCGGCACCATATCTGACAGACTCTCGGCCATCTGGAACCCCCGCTCTGGAGCAAACAGTGAGGCATGTCAGGAAACTGGAAGATTTGTCACATGCGTGCTCTCAAATAGATCAGTGCGGCATGAGGCAGCATGGTGACGTTGTGTTTAGCATGCCTGAACCTTTGAATCTCTTTTGGAGCATCTGTGTGTGGAGTTGACACCAAAAAGGTTCATTGAAAACGCTAAAACTTTTTGTGTGAATAGGAGGCCTAATGGTTGCTTGTCTATGTGCCCTGTGATTGATGGATGACCAGACTAGGGCTGGACAATTTTAAAAAGTAATCAAATTGAGATTTTATTGCCTCATTTTCGCAATTGTGACTTTATCTGTATTTTTTCAAGGTCAAGCAATATATTCATTTGTATGACAAGCAATATCAGATTTATGATGGATATTGGGTCTTAAAAGTTGGTCTTTTGTAGTGGCATATTGGTCGACTGGTTAGCCCATCCGCCTCACAGTGCAGAGGTCTGGGGTTTTTGTTTTTCAAATTGCAGCCTTTGTGCTTTGCAAATTGCATTCCACGACATTGCAATGTCGCGCTGTGTCTCTCACCATAAGATCCCTGCAGAAAAGCCACTTTCATTGAAGACTCAAAAAATGTCGATAAGTGTAGATGTGGAAGCCTGTTCGTCTAAAAGTGCCCTGCAATTGGCTCGCGACCAGTCTCGGGTGTACCCCGCTTCTGTGACACTTAATGAGATCAAGCGCTATAATGTATGATGCATCACAATACTTTAACACTTCAAGTTACTCAGTCATGATTCATAAATATAAAAATGCAGTGGGAAGCGTGATTTATTTTGACCATATATTCAACTCTTATCTGTTTTTCTTTGTTGGGGAATCATATTACCAGATGAATCCAAATTGGACCAAAATGAGCTTTGATTATGCAAATTAATGCCGACTAAATATATGCCATCTCTGCTTGAAGCAGATGGTGAGGCGCTACCTCATGTCGTGAAAGACATCTCCCCCCCATCCCCCTCCCCGCTTTCCTGTATCAGTACTCATACACAGTGCCATGAAAAAAAAATTGCACCCCTCCTCAAATTCGTTTTGCATAGTTTGCCCACTTGAATGTCAAGATCATAAAACCAATGTAAATATCAAAGATGACCCAACTAAAAATCAAGTATTTTTAAAGTGGTGATTTTATTCAGCAAGGGAAAAAAACTTTTCAAAGCTACTTGGCTCTGTGTGGAAAAGGAAAAAGTATTTGACCATTTGGAAATTCATTTTGTGTTTGCGTGTGTGAGAGAGGGTGAGAGCCAGGCTCTCTTAAATGTTGAATTTTCCCATTTCACTTAATTGGTCCAAAAATAATCATGAATCCTTTGTTATCAAACTATGCCAGCAACACATTGTGAACATTCACGAGAGGTCAAAAGGTATAATTAGCCGTACCCAAATGAAAGAATGATCTAAAAGGTATCACTGTGATTATTTGGTTATCAAAGCAACCCTATACAGTATTATATCACAACGTTGAAGTGGCTGCCAATTTTTTTACTTCCGTGCATGCGCAGTCGTACGGAGCCCCAGACTTGACGTTTGAGAAAAAATAAATACTTTGTGCGCAAGAACTACTGATATGGGCACACAAACTACTTATTTGTGAACACTAACATTACTATTTCGTGCACACTAATGACTACTTCTGCTCTTCTACTATTCCTGTGCATGAAACAGTTACAGCGTACACATGAAATAGCGCTGATCCCTTATTGGAAAAGAGGTTAAACAAACTGAGCACGCCTTCACTGATTCGCTTCTCACTTAAATAATCAGAGACTTTAAAATCCCACAAATTTTTGCATCTGACGTTTTTTTTTTTTTAATTCCAAGATTTATTAGTGATATTATGACAAAAAGTTTTCATTTCGTATACTGTACATCCTCCGATAATCATGATATCTCACAGATCATTGCATTTGCAGAACAATAAAATCGATCCCGGCCTCCAAGTCAACTTTGAAAGGTGCGTTCGAGTATTTTATTTATGTAATGGGCCACGGCTACTTCACGCACACGAACAACTACTTCGTGAGCACTTTCTCTGTAGTAGTCCATGCGCACGAAGTAGCATTCCGTGGCCACAAAGTAGTTCTCGTGCGTACATAAAAGTTACAGCGTGTGCACAAGTTTTTCTTAATGTCATGTGGAGGGCTCCGAACAGTCGCCCTGACGCAGCCTTGTATAACCGTTTATACAACAGCCATCCCAGGCGCTTCATTCACCAACTGCTGCTCCCTCCTGATTGGCCACACCTTCCTGGCCACGCCTCCCGCCAACTATTTTCCCCACGTGCAACCGGTGACGTGTTATATAAAAAAAGTGACAGCTGCACGGGCCAATCATGAAAGTAAAGCGTCGTCCCCATGAACGCCTCCTTACCCGGAAAAATGACGCCACTTGGCTGGAAACGCTCCGAGGGTAAGACTGACAGCCGTGGCAGCCAATAAAAACGAAAGAGGAGGAGTTGCACTGAATGAGGTCACTACCTTCGCTGGAGCTCCACCACGCAGTGCGCGTACAAATCTGACCGAGAAAGGAACTGTGTCACGAGCAGTATAGAACGATATCTACGTGCAACTTTTGGATTCAAAATTTTAGTTCAGCGTCTACACGAGGACCGGGCTCATTTGTTGTTGACGGTACGTGGAGCTCTTCATACGCAATAACCATACTCTAAAAAAGATGACAGTTGTCTAAGTTGCATAACTGTGTCAGTGGACTACTGGATCAGCTGACTCGGCGGCTGTGCTTTCACGTCAAAATGTTAACTTTGTTTAATGTTGCCAATGTCAACGGTGTGTGCGTTTATTCGTGAAAAACGAAACTACTTTCAGGGGAAGAGGCAAAAAAAAAAAAAGAATCACATCGCGTTCGTACTTGACTTGGCGTTGCATAAAAAGTGAAACGCAGCACCTTACATAAAGAGTGCAGTGCAGCACATGTCGGTGGAGTTTGTCATGCAGTAGCGATTAGTGAATGATGCTCGGAATGCCTGCTCCTCTAGTTAAAAAAAAATGGATATATTTACGAGTCGACTATTTCAGTTTACCTGACTCACAATCCAGGCTAGACAAACACTCAAGGTGTGCTTTTTCAATCAAAAAAAAATATATACAGAATACTGTCATATTACATACAGCATATAACAATGGTAAAATAATGTCTCTTTGTCTCCTTTACACTTTAAGGGCCAATGGTTTGTACTTTTTGATACCGTGGATAGACAGGAGAGCCAAAAATCAAGCACAAAACAACTGTAGCTACTTATAAAGTGTGAGAGGTGATTTGAACCTGTTTAACAGGGAGGGGGCTCAAACTCCAGTCCTGGAGGGCCGATTTCCTGCATGTTTTCCCATCTCCGTGCAACAATATCTAGATATTTTTGGGCAAAATGTGCTGTCTGTTGTTCAAAAGCTTGGGTTCAGTTATGTCTCGGAGCTGCTTTGCTATTCCTGGGTCTTTGTTGGGTGCAGTGGATTCTTCAGTCATTCTCAAATAAAACCTGCTGTCTGGCGCAAACAAAATTTTCTCTCTGTAATGTTGGGGCTGCTTTGGTGAATCCGAAACAGGGTGTCTTGAATCTGTGCTTGAAGAGTGTAATCTGTATGTTTTCTAAGGCTGCTTTGCTACATCTGGTATCTTAAGTAGAGTGTAATCTTCTGACATTCTGGAGATAAATGTGCTGTTTGGTTTCTAAGGCTGCTTTGCTACATCTGGTATCTTAAGCCATGCAAGGTGCAATGACATCAGAAGAATGTGTTGGCAACTTGGAGTAAAATGGGCTGTCTTGGCTGTGTCCCAAGGCTGCTTTGCTACCTCTGGCACTGGGTGTCTTGAAACTGTGTAAGGGACTATTCAGTGTTTGGTATCAGAACGCAGAAGATTCGAAATGTTCTGGCGCTGCTTTACTACAGTACCTCTGACACAGCGTGTCAAATCCCAAGACTGTCGGGGCATTCTGGAGTGTAATGTGCTGTCCGGTGTCAGAAAGCTTGGTCTGTTAACAGTCACCTTACAGTTACAACACCACAGCTAACAATGGCCTTGGAATTAAACATTAGATTAATCTAAGGAGGCCTCAGATCTAAATCTTAAGGACCATCTGTAGACGAAACTGAAAGATGCTGTCTGTGAGGGAGTTCCTACATTAAATTGTGGATGAAATCTTACTTGGGATAAATCGACTTTTAACAACGCATGTGCTACTGAACACTTGGTGTAATAATCAATCACGATACAATAAGTAGTTTTTGTGGCTTGAACAGATGGAGATGATAGAAATGCAATTATGCCTCTTGCTTTGGTTTTGCCAGAAACTGAATTGAGAGCACAGGGTGAAGAATTAGAAGTAGGAAAACCTCAAGCTGTGGTGATTCACAGGTTGCTTGGATACAGCAATCAGAGCAGTTTCAAGGGCAGTGTATTTTCATCTTGTCTCAATAAGAAGGGGACTTTAAAGTTGTCCTGTTATATCGGTGTCTCCCTTTCCACCGAGCTCTGTTTTTGTCATGATGTGACCTGTCCCTTTTTTTAGCCACTGAGGGATAAAGGATGAAGCGTTACGTGGTCCCGGTGTGCATGTACGTGGGGCAGTGTGCATCTGATCCATTAGGTCCATCTAGGATGTCATTGAGCATACTGTAGATGTAGGTCAAGCAAACAACTTGAGTACCACCAGAAGGAGAAATCACAACACTCTGTAGTTTTGACAAGAATGCATTTGTAAAATAGACAAGAATCGAGTTTCCATCAACATAAATTGAGATTAAAAAAAAAAAATCATACAAAATGAAATTTGTGAATTTTTTTTCTCCTCACCCGATAAAGCCTCAACACTCTTCATTCACTTTAGAATTTATTTCTCACTGATTGTTAATCGGCACACTCAAGACGTTTCCCACGGGAAGCTGTTTCCACCCCTTGACTGCCTGGAGCAACTTGTGATCACATTTAAATGAGTGAAATGGCCTGGGATGAGTCGTATTGTTTTTATTTGCTTTGTTTGATCCAATTAGCCATCTACGGTGAGTTCTCTCTGTTCCCTTCTCAATGGAGGAGACCATTTTTTTTTCGTCTCGTCCTTCCTGCCAGCCATCGTGCACTCTGACGGGAATTGTATTAAACTGCACTTTACTGTCGAGGTGTCGTCACGTATTGTGGTCATTTGCACGTAGCAGGCTAAATTGTTGGTATGCTTCTATGAAGGAAAAGCAACAGACACGGTGATCACTGAAATGGCTCAAAGGCAAAAATGAAGAACACTGTGTCTACTGTGAAATCCATGGAAGGCTCCATTTTGAATCTATGCTCGGTCAAATGAAATCTCAAGACCATCAAGGAGGGATCTGTGCTGCTTGGCGTCAGACGGCTTGCTCTCAGTTGTTTCCTGGGGCTGCTTTGCTACATCCGGCACAGAGTGCCTAGACCGTGTACCGGGTTCAATGAACTAAAGACTCTCTGCTTGCATCTCCTCAGCAGGACGGAACAAGTCAAGAAGACGGTATTAGTTAATAGTCCCGAATGAATATGCATACGAATGAGCTGGCCTCCCAGATGGGCCGAGCTAATCTTTAGTCACAAGTGGAAAAACGGTCCATTTAAATGCCAAGTCAGAATGTCACTGTGTAGATATCAATGAGTTTCTCAGAAGGGACGCGGTTCTATTTTTCCACACCATATGTAAATGTTTAAAAAGAAATCATTTCAAACATATTAATTAATTAAAGTGGAAGCAAAAAAATTTTTTAACTACTAAAATTGCAAAACGTGTCCATTCCTGTAGCAAAAAAAAATGTTCTTGGAAAGATCCACAGTGTGGTTATACAGTAGAACAGACCATTTGATCTTCTTTTACGTTTGTCATATTTGCTGGCCTCAGTGCTTCAAGGCCACGAAAAAACAACAACAACACGCCGCTGCAACCTAACATGGATTTCAAGTAAATGTTTTGTGTTTCATGTGATAGATGATCCTTTTGAAAGGGTCAGGAGGGGCTCAGATGGGGCACAGCCTTTCTTTTAAAAGGCAACACAGCTTGAACCTGCTCACCTTTTCACTGTAGATCAGAGAAGCACCTGCAGAGTGTTTTTATTTTCCAGGTCAGAAGATGAACTCTGCCATTTGTTGAGCTTTTCATGTCTATAAAATGGGATGTTTGTGTTTGAGATCCACACATGGCTAAGTTCAGGGTTGTTTATTGAGGCATGCCACATTAGACAGGCCCGTGCAATCTAATGTAAAGGCGTTAAACTCAAATCCCCCCGGCCAATTTTTCCTCGACCTCTGATCAAAACTTGTTCTCTATCATAAAATTGATTATGATCAAATGCAGGGGCACAGATGTGATTTATTAGATGCCAGCGGAGTAAGCGAAGAGGTAGACTTTTACAATAGTTGAGCATTTAAGAGTGGTAACAGATTTCTTGTCATGCTGTTTTCAACACTTTTCAAGTGGTTAAAAATGCTTAAAATTCACAAGACAATGTGGGGGACGATAGTAACGAACGAATGGGGGAAAAAAAAAAATGGAATTGACCATATTTGGACATGCAAGATTTCTGCCTGATAGCGACGAGACGTGACAATATGTCGTTTGTCATTTACAACAAATTAAAGTGATAAATTCGTAAAAATATTTTAATTTGGCAATTTTAGGAAGAAAAAAAAAAAAAACCCAAAGTGTACCGGTAACTTTATACAGGACCGTAGATAACGTAAATGCTTCTTGTGCTGCTTTAAACAATGTCGGCTAGTTCTTAAACGGTAGTAATCAGCTTCTGTCTCGCAGACGTCATGTCTCGCGATGTGCCAAGAGATTTAAGCGCTATGGGTTTCATAAAATTTTCATTCTTTTCTTTGCAGATCAGTCCTGTTCCATCCCTCGGTCACCTTCACTGACGATGGGGTGATTGCGGTCTCTCTACACAACTTCAACACCAACGATCAGAAGTCAGCTCATCCTCCTGATGTCAGAAGATTCAGATTCCAAGCACTATTGCTTTTCGGTACCGAAGGACCAAGATGGCGCTTCGAGCTGCCGAGCATCCACATCGTGCGGCTCCGTGCCGAGGGGGGCCTCTGGCTGCGGCTCCATGGCGCAGCTGCAACGGATGAGCAGCTACAGCCAAGGCGGGCCCGAGCTCGGCCTGCCGTCGGAGGGCAGCGACAGCAGCGGCCATGACGCCCCTTCTGCCGGGCCGCGCAAACTTCGCAAGAGTTCTCGTTCCCTCTCGCGTCCGGAGGAGGACGTGGAGATGAAGAGCAGCGGGTCCTGCGGCAGCGGGACCGAGTCGCACGGCAACGAGAGCCACGGCAACGAGAGCCATGGCCACGAGAGCAACGGTCACGAGTCGACGGGCAGCTCCAACAGTAACAGCAAAGATTCCGCTTTGTTGGAGTCTTCTGGAAGCAACAAGAGGTATTTATTGAGGGATGTTTCCATTTAAAGGCGAGGAGAACAATGCAACATTTAAGCAACATCATTTGCTGGTAGAACAGGAATAGTTGACTTGGGAAGATTTCTGACCTCACTACCCCTATTTGAACGAAATTAATTTCAGGCATCTAATGCGCAGTGACATCCATAGAGAAGGTCAGTCAATCAAGACTGGTTTTACTTCAAAACAGGTTTTGCCTTGAAAAATCAGAAATACACTGGTACCACCACTTAGGAAATTACTTGGTTCCGGAAGAAACTTCTTAACTAGAACATTTTGTAAGTAGAGACACGTTTTCCATGTAAATGCGCTAATCCGTTCCAAGCCCCCCCAAAATTCTGACAAAAATGTTTCCTCAAGCATAAAAATGCATCAAAATATGGAACAAATACATGTTGCAATTAGGTTATTGCACAATAAATGAGAGCTGTGCATAATGTAAAAAAACAATGGATAAAGAATACAAATGATGGTCATTTAACTTTTGGTAAAGAACTGATCCAAGGACGTTTGCTCTTGTCGGCTTTTAACAATCCTTCGAAAATGTCCAAGGTAAACATCAGCATCGTGAACAATCGCCCGACTGGTGAACACTTTTTCTGGGTGATTCATATTTACGTAAAAGTATCGGAACGCCTCGTGGCGTCCTCGAATGACGAGGACGCTGCACAGACACATACGGTAGAGGTTCCTCTTAGCCAATGGGATGCCAGGAAGATGCTCGGTAATAGCCAATGGCAGAGCAGCTCTAAGTATGTTGTGTTTAGGAAACTCAGAGCTGCGAGTGGCAGCCCATACTGTATTTTTACCTTTCGTATCTTGCAATTTCTTACGTAACAAGAGGCAATATTTCCCTGTTGACGCTTTTCGTAACTTGAAAATTTCGTATGAAGAGACGTTCGTAAGTAGAGGTACCACTGTAAATGAAAAGAAATCATCATTTCACGTTCTGCACGGCTCACAACTTCCACCATCATCATTTTCATACAAACTGGGCAGAATGTGTGCTCTGTAAGTTCACAACATGTAATTTGAGTGACGACTCAACTAAATATACTTTCAGTACCGATGGAATATGTGCGGGATATTTCCAAAAGTCCATAAAACGTCCGAAATGCATCTGCAGCGTGACGTCAAAACGAGCGCAGCTGTGATTCACTGCTGACAGGAGGCAGTCGGAATTCATCTGGATTGCTGGGAATTTTTTTTTTTTTAAAAACGATGGTTGCTCCCAGTGGGAAATCTGGCCCGATGATGTCAGCCGGCAAACCAGCCACTTGGCTTTATGCCAACATCAGAGGGGCTGTGTCATGCCTTTTTTAACTTGGCGCTTATCACCATGGCGACGCATTGTTTGTTTGAGTTTGTCGCCGGGCGGATTGAACCCTGATGCACGTTCTTGCGTTTTAGTGCGCTTAGCTGTCTGCCTCGCCTCTCACTGGAACATTTTGATGTCCAAACAGGGAGTGGTACAAAATAGGCGTAGTATCATACTTCTCAGACTTTTTCCACCGATTACCACCTTTGGAAAATACTTAACATGTCCAGTAACCACCACCATTGACCATCATTAAAATACAGTAAGGCAAAGTGTTCATCTGAAACAAATCAGCTTTTACTTCCCTAAAATTATATTTGGTATTTACATTTGGGTGATTTGTCAATAATTGGCCTAATGGTCGCATTGATATTCTACCCCAGCCCCCACCCCCCATTCCCTCCTCCAAAATCCTACATCATGCAGCACTGTTAGCCACTGTAACAACAACAACAACAAAAACATTAAATTAAAACTCTACCTAATGACTTAAACTGTTTTCCATCCACCCATCCATTGTCTGATCCACTTTATCCTCCCAAGGGTCGCGGGGCGTGCTGGAGCCTCCTATCCCAGCAGTCTTTGGGCAGCTAATATGATAATGTGCTGTTAGTGTTAAATACAACTGAACTGTATTTAACAAATGCCTTATACTGCATTGAAAAAAAAAACGTTTAAGCCATGGCAGCATTTATATCTAATTCACTAATGAAAGAATCAGGCAATTTTGTGTTATCCCTCCTCAAAGGCAGCTTTTAACAATTCTGCCATTCAGTCTTGATACGTCAGAACACAAACTTTATATCATGGCTTTCAATTTACAGGAATACAAGATTTGTTTAGTTGGGTCTGTTGTCATTTGATGTGAAATGTTCTGTGAAGCGCTTTGTTACAGCTGCTGCTGTCGTGGGGGCGCTATTTGAATAAAAGTGCATTGTATTGTACAAACAGGCAAGCAGTACAAGCAGTACAATATCAGGCAAAGGGGGACAGCCAGCCTTACTTCATGGCTCAGCCCTCCTCACGACAATGAAAAAATTCCTGTCCAGGGTGAGAGTTTATTTGTACATCGTGAGCTTGAACACAACATTGTGTCAAAGGTAGGAAGTTCTGATCGTTCCCCAGGGAGAGACAGGAATGAGCTTCGAAGAGGAGAGGGGAGTCTTTTGTCATTTCAGCGAGCTGCTCAATGAACTCTCGGACAAAATACGATGTCATGCGTCTGGCTTTGAAGCAATTCGTCTGAGTTTTTTTTTTTCCTGTTAAGAATTTAGAATTGCTCCCATGAGCTATTGAAAAATGTCACAGTAAAATATAACCACAATCATGTATATCATCAAAGTATACTTTGGAAGCCCTACAAAAAAAAGATCTCTCAATTTATTCACAAGTTGACATCTTCAGTGAAATCTGGGCCTGTTTAGCTGGGCAATAAATAATTACAGTCGACCCTCTTCTGGTTCTCCAGTTCAGTATATGCCACGCCCCGAAACCGTTAACGATCATCTTTCAATCTTTTGGCTTTGAACTCTACCGTGATTTTTGTTGCCATGACGGATGATTGCCGAAATCGTTGACTTTGCCAATTCGTAGTGTTGGCTGAGCTTCTTCTGGGAGACTCCCTTTCAAAAGCGAGAGACAATTTCAGCCTTCGCAGATGGCGAGATTTCCTTATGTGCTCAGGGCTGCGCCCTGCCTCCCGATGTACAACAATGTACCGAGTCGGTCAGTAGCGTTGCCTAGCAACGGAGGGGAATCCCACGCTGTACATTTTGTTCATAAGCAAGGTCGCGGCGGCAGCTAGCTTCCCACGGTTCATCGGAACGAAGGCCTTGCCACTATTTTGCGGGAAAAATCTGGGCGTCATAATGGAGTTGACCTCATAAAGGTGTTCGTTGGAAGCCAAATCGGCAAATGGAAAATGAATTGCGTGAAATCGGGGCTTTGAAATGTGAACCTTATAAGTGTGAAAAGGTTGTAAATGGGGTACAGTATGTTGAAAAGAGGTTCGACTGTATTCTGTAGTAAGGAGGCCAACAGGTGGAAGAGGATGGAATTACCGGTATTCTGCCTTCACTATAGGTAGCTGTCATAGATAGCTAGATTGGAAAAAAGAAACATTATTGACAGTAAATAATCCTTTTTAAACCATTGAGCAAAATTGGATAATTTCCCTCGGTAGTGTTTGGCAATTACCCGTCAAAACTGTGAAGGACACGACACAAAAGCAGAAAGAATCCTTAGCCATCTTCGTCGAGCCACCTTGCCCTGATCTTCAACCGTCGTCCAGACTAAAACAGAGACGCCGCATTAAGCTTATTCTGTCTTCTCTGACCTACTTGCTGCTGCCAAGTCCACTTGAGATGCTATTCTCAAAGGCAGCTCTATTCTCAGTGGCTTAAGTAGGGTTGTTTTAGTGCCAGTCACCGTAACGGCCAGATGTTAATAGTTCTGGGTGAGCATTTTGCGCTATCAGATGTTCTAAAAAAAAAAAGAAAGTGATGGAAAGTACATCGCTGGCACTGTTAACTAATCCGCAAAATATCCAGTGGTTCTCATTCAGCATTTTCTGCCGTGCTGTGAAAACTGCGCCTTCTTCGGGAGAATAATTGTCCTGCAAGATGACGCAAAGAAAAACATCTTCCGGCCACACCAGCATACCCTGACCTTAACCCTATTAAGAACCTGTGAAGCATCCATCAAAAGGAAAGTTGATGAGAGTGTACAGCACACCTCCAAATCGGAACCTTGGGAGGCCAGGAAATATTGAAGAAGGGCTCCGATGTTAAAATGAATTTAATTGGCAAATACATTTTTTTTTTTTTTTAACTGAAAATAATATAATGACCGAAATCTGACCCTTTTTCCTCCCAAGCCTTCTTTACAATCTATTTAGGTCATTGTATCATCCTGTATTTCAAGTCATTTTGCAAAATCGGGTTGGTTTTGTTGAACACATACACAAATATTCTCTTTGTTTGTTGTAAAAAAAAAAAAAAAAAGGCATACTGTCGCTCTTGGGCGGAAACTAGTCGTCTCTCTGAGCATCTTTTATTCCTGCCAATTTAATGAGTTGAAGAAATCTGTTAAGTCATGGTCACAAACTGACTGAGAAGTTGCATTATGTCGCCTCAAGATAGAAAGTCTGGCTGTTATTCGACAATGTTGAGTCAAAATGATCAATTAGCTTACATTCGAGTCAGCCTGTTTGGCAAAATATCAGTTATTTAATGCTTGGTCACAGAAGGGAGCGTGTCAGCCACAAAGGTAAGTTTGTGTGCACATTAATATCTGTTAATTACACTTCTAAGTCAGTTGGCTTTTTTGTTTTTGTTTTTTTTGTTATTTGCATCACTCGTTCATACTTAAGACTCAGACATAGATTTTTTTTTTTTTTTTTGCTGTCAATATAACTTCTAGTCTCAAACCAATGGAGTGAAATTGGATCATTTCCCACACCGCACGAATGCGCTTCGGCCCAGTGGTTGGCTCTCACCAATTTGGACACATATCTTGCCCTCATAACTACAAAGAAAACTAAATGTGATGCTTTTCCCACAGCCACGGGACTATTCAAGCAGACAGAAACCAAAGCCCTCAAGTCTGCGATGATTCAATGCAGACCAATTAGCCTCCTGTCAAAGCTTAGTACACATTGGGCCCCGTCCACTCTAAAACCAGCGATTGTATTTTTGAAACCCTCCTCTGCTCAAAGGTTGCAATTTGTAGCAATGCTGCTCTATTCTTATTCGGATTAGCCTGCTATTTAAGTACACCTGTCTTGTGATGAGTCAGCGTCTCAGAGTCCATTTTGGGTTTACCGGGTCCTCATTAGGCTTGTGGGTTAATGCCAACCACCGCACGCATACTCTCCCGGTCTTTTTACTCAGGTTAAACCTCTGCAGTGTTTCTATTAGTGGTGTCAGTTCAAGTTCTGAATTTCGACAGTTAGACTTCATCAGGTGGTGCGTTTCTAATTAGATTTTGACGAGTGAGTGTCTTATAAAATGTCGCACTATAAGGCCCATTAAATTATCTCAAAAGCCGACAGCGCGCTTTATAATCTGGTGCGCCTCATATGTGGATCAATATTCAGATTTATTGGATGTCGTATTTTAAATGTAACCAATCTGTCATTAATTTGTGCTTTTTCTGCACTGTCAATTTCTTTTTTTTTTTTTTTAATAAAAGGATAGAAATTGAATTTTTTTTCAAAAATCGGATTCATCAATTAATTGACAAAATCCAATATAATTGACCAACTAATGAATTCAAATCATCATTGGTTGCAGCCCTTTAGTACAGAACATGTAGATTAAGCGAGCAACAGAGATCATTTCGCTAGTTGTCGAGATGGATCTCGTTATCCTCCATTATCAATCCATCTCTCTATATATCTCATATCTAGTCCTCGATTTCCCACTCAAACATCCATTACATTGCAATGAGTGTAACCAGAATGGCTTTTCATGTGGGCCATGTTTAAAAGTTGCACTCGTCCTCCCAATTCTTCGCCTTCCCCGCGGAGCCAGCTGGTGAATCATCTCCACAAGGAGCTGCTGACAATTGAAGAGCGCCTCATCCTTTCTCAGGGCCTCTCTTAACGCCACATGTGGCCCATTCCCCTTGTTTTTCCTCCCCGCCCCCCACTCGTCTTCCACAAAAGGCGTCAACAGCGGCGGGTCTTTTTTCAGGTCAAACTTAACCACACCGCAAACTGCAAGATCCACCGCGTCCATTTTTGCTCATTGTTACGTAAGGCCACCTTCAGGGCTCCTCTGGAGGCTTTTCCTCACCTGGCTGATTGGTGGCTATTATGAAAAATACCAAAATGTCAAAGAAATTATCGTCCATGTTGTTGGGTGAATACAGAAAGAAACATCTGCTGCTTAATGTGAGAGGAGGTGTCATCCTCATTGGAGGCAAGTTTCTTTGTACGGCGCCTTTCATACACAAGGCAAAATTCAAAGAGAGGCAAAGAATTCATGATTTAAGATGACAAGCTGTTGTTCAGTCTTTTATTTGTATTTTATTTCTTTATTTATTTTTGCTCTGTGTTGTGGAACAAACTTGGCAGCGCAAGCTGGCTTCAGGTATGGTGCCGTTCAAGCCATATGAAAGAAAAAAACCAAAAACAAAACACTGGAGCAACCAAGGCACAATAATGCCCTCAAATGTGGGCAAGGAGAGCCACAGATGCCGATGCACTTTCAGACATTTATTGAACAGGACAAACAGTCAAACACAGAAATGTAAAAGGCACATACCCAAAGCACAAACACGAAAAATCCTATTAAACCAGTCCATTAAAAAAAAAAAAAGTTTCATGATATTTTTATTGGCGCTCTGTATACTTTTTGGGCCATTTTTCTACCTTGGATCAGTAAAAATTGGACAAATCTGATTTAGACGAATACGTGCATGCAGTTGAATGTGCGAGAAAGCATATCATTGGAGCGGGGAACATGGAATACTACTTACTCTCAGAGCTCTACTGAGATGATTTGAGAGTCACGACTGTTTATTTAGGCCCGGCTTATTCCCTCATACAGAAATCCTTGCCGAAGTGATCTGCAACCTGTTAAAAATAATAGATTTTATTTTTTTCCTTATTCCTTGGCAAGCCAGACCGTGGAACAAAACATTTGTAGTTCCAGCTGTAGCTGTTGTGGAAGCGCTATATCAATAAAGCTGTATTGTATTATAGTATGATCGTGTTTATAACATCACTCGGTAATAAAAGTTATCTTTCCTTCTCTGTCCGCCTTTCAGCTCAAACTCCCACAGTCCATCTCCCCCCAGTAGTTCAAATGCCTTCAGTTTGCTGAGCTCCGAGCAGGACAACCCTTCCACCAGTGGTTGCAGGTACGCAAACCCGAGGACCGTAAACCAGCTTCCCAAAATGACACTCTTTTTTTTTTTTTTAAATATCTGACCGGCCGGCAATGTACCTTGTGCCTCTTGCAGTAGTCAGGAATCTGCTAAAGCCAAGACTCAAAAGGAAGTGCTGAAGACCCTGAAAGAGCTGAAGCTGTACCTGCCTGCCGAGAAGAGGCAAGGCAGCAATTCCTCCACGTTGAACACGCTCAAGTACGCTCTGCGCTGCGTCAAGCAGGTGGAAGGTAAAGGCCACTGAATCTTTTTTCAGATTTCATCTTTTCAACTGGACTTTCTCTATGATTTAAAAATGCACAATAACTTTTACTGGTGGACTTATTTAGACATCCAAAACTTTGGATGCACATGTCCAACTGTTCCAGGTTTCATTTAGTGGCGTCCATCGCTCCAAGAAAAGAAGATTCAAGATATAGCTATGTATATATATCTATATCTTGATACATGCGGTGTGATACAATTCAAGGACGTTTTTTTTCAAAAGTGAAATGATTCCGTTTGATTGGATTCAGTGTGGCATGTCCTTCAAAGCCATATTTCCCCAATATCTTTGAAGTCAAAACCAATTTTCCTATTCAAATAGTTTTTATTTTTATTTATTTTTTGTTCCACCGCAAGTTGACTACCTTTTGCAAAACTTGCTGTTCTCTAACAAACATTTGGAACAACATTTACAACAGGCAATAGGGAAAGGTTGGTTTGGAAGCCCTTTTTTATTTATTTATTTTTTTTTTGGTTTTTAAATATATAAAGCATTTCATTGTCCTCCAAGTCTATCAGACTTACTGTCAATGTTTAATTTTGTTTGCAGCCAATGAGGAGTATTACCAGTTGCTGATGACCAATGACAGTCAACCTTCCGGCCTGGATGTATCTTCGTACACCATTGACGAGATAGACAGCATTATGTCGGAATACACCCTCAAAAACAATGTAAGTCGCTGATTTATTGTCCAAATAAGAAAGATGACATTTTGTAACTGTCCATCCCTGAGTCAAAACACCACTACTTATATTTTCGTCAGGTTTTGACAAGGGGATGCACTCGTTTACTTTAATAATTATTAATTTATTTCACATTCAAAAATGAGCTTCAATGGCCACAGATAGGCATGGCAGGTTTGTGGCGTCATACTCCACGCTCCGGTATATGCGGCAGACGGTAAAAATTTGGCCTATGGTATCGATTTGGACTCCGCAGACCGATCGCGATAAAGCATGTTGATGACCTCTTCGCATCTGCTTCACTGTGAAAATGGCTTCAAGCACATCTGACCACGGAGCTGCCAACCGTACACGCCTCTTGGTCGAGCACTCACCCATCTTCCTTGCTTTCCCGGCTGGCCGGGAATCATGGGAGACTTATATTTTCGTCAGGTTTTGACAAGAGGATGCACTCGTTTATTTTATTTTTTTTTTAAGAATTATTAATTTATTTATCTCACATTCAAAAATTAGCTTCGATAATCACAGATAGGCATGGCAGGTTTGTGGCGTCATACTCCACGCTCCGGTATATGCGGCAGACGGTAAAAATTTGGCCGACGGTATCGATTTGGACTCCGCAGACCGATCGCGATAAAGCATGTTGATGACCTCTTCGCATCTGCTTCACTGTGAAAATGGCTTCAAGCACATCTGACCACGGAGCTGCCAACCGTACACGCCTCTTGGTCGAGCACTCACCCATCTTCCTTGCTTTCCCGGCTGGCCGGGAATCATGGGATGCATGCTAGCTGCTAAATTAACGAATTGCAGCTGGCTGGCTAGCAAGCTAGCACATCTAAACGTATCGCAGAGCTGCTCCTTAAAAGTCACTAATCCTCCCATCTATGGCGGCGAACATGGCACAACTCTGACAAGTATCGTGATCACCAAAGGAGGACACGGAATGGCTTACTAATCATGTGGCACACTGGGCAAGAAAAGAAAGGAGGAGGAAGACGGAGAAGCTGTGCTAACTGCTAAGCTAAGATCAAATATGAAGCGGCAAAAATCCACGTGAATGAATTAGTATCGTTGTGGTCCCCTATTTGCAGGACATTTTCGCAGTGGCCGTGTCACTCATCACGGGAAAGATCGTATACATCTCCGACCAGGCTGCCTCCATCCTGAACTGCAAAAGGGACGTGTTCAACAACAGCAAGTTTGTGGAGTTCCTGATCCCGCAGGATGTCAGCATGTTCTACAGCTTCACCACGCCATACCGCCTGCCCTCTTGGAGCATGTGCAGTGGGGCTGGTAGGAGCCACGTTTTTATGACACGATTGTCGGGCGGGGACGGGTGGATTAGAGCTTTTATTGTGGCAGTGACAACAGAATCGTTTTCACTCGTGGAGGCAGCACTTCATACACAAACACACACTGTTTGAATGTGATGCATGGATGCGTCTCTCATCACGGTTTCTTATCCCTACAAACTGATTCACATTTTTCTTTATCATTAATTCATTTGTTGATTAATTGTTAAAAAAAAAACTATATACATAAAAAACACATGTGGCATGGTTGTATTAATGTATTATTAAATTTAATTGTACAGATGAATACAGTTACAGTTCACTATAAAAACTGCAACTTAAGTATGAATTTTGTATTAACAAAATGTAGGCATTATTTTATTAAAAAATAATAAAAAATTATTTTTAAATAAAATTTAAGTTACATGTACTTGTAACATGTTTCTTTGATTAAATAGTTAACTGATTAATTCATTTTAAAAAAATTGACAATACAATTTTAAAATGAGCATCAATTATTAGATCATTTTGAAAATATACTATGTGACATGTTTGATGCTAAATAAAATTTAATTTACATGTACTTTATATGTAACATGTTTCTTTGATTAAATAGTTAACTGATTAATTCATTTTAAAAAATTTGACAATACAATTTTAAAATGAGCATCAATTATTTCATTTTGAAAATATACTATGTGACATGTTTGATGCACACGTGTTCACTAGTTTCCTTCATCTAAAATGGCTTGGCCCCATTCCTCTATTTTAAAAGCTCAAATTAGGTCACCGTTGCGCTTAAAGAAATCAAAAGCCAATCAATATCTTGGTGGCCTACACTTAAGTGACTGAAAGAACACCCGCTGCCCCTCCATCGCTGCTTGTTTTTCGTAACGACCAACCGCCAAACTCTCATTTAATTCACCGCGATCCAAGAAAAGAGCGATGCATTCATGGAACTCCGGAAAACCGAAGTGCATGCCCCGGAGGGAGCAAAAGCAGTTGTGCGCTATTGTTTTACTGCTGAATGAAAACATTTCCCATTGCAGAGTCATTGCCGCCTGACTGCATGCCGGAGAAGTCCTTCTTCTGCCGTATCAGGTGGGTGGGCACCGCCTCGGCCTCGCTAGCGGACCATCTGCCGCTCGTGATTTTTATTCATGTTTTTTTTTTTTTTCTTTTTTTTTTCTTTCTGACATCATACGCGCGTCACCGCTAATCGGATACTTTGCCCATCGTTGCTGTCCTGTGAAAAAAACACGCGTGCCCATATTTGAAAAGTCTACGACTGCACGTTAACATAAAACTTAAAAAAAAAAAAAAGACTAAAATGGAGATGCGTCTTTTTCACAGGCTACGCTACAGTGATACATATACCAAATTAGAGGTGCAACAGTTAATTGACAGCTGATTGACTATCTAATCAATTATTATCTCATCGTTTACATAACTTTTTTTTTTAACTTAAAATGATCCAAATCCTCAGAATTTCATTTTCTCAGAAGTAAATAATCTCAGATTTCTGTCGTCCTCCATGAATGCAGACTGTAATACAATATTGCAATTTTTTTGGGCTATTTTCTAACGTTGCTGACCAAACCAAGAACTAAATCATAAATAATTAAAGAATGGAAATCACGTTTAAAAAATATCTATTAATCTACAAAACACTCAAGATTTATTCATTTTAAAAATAATAATTTGTTGCAGCCTTACAACACATACAACCAAACTTTCTGTGCCAAGGCCATCCTTTTGTTTGGGCTCCACACGTACCGATCGGCGCAGATTTTTAACGTGAGAAATCCAAGATTTTTATTTTATTTTTTTTAAATCTTGTTTACAACCAGTGATGACAAACAAAAAATAGCAGATGTTTGGCATGATCTTTGCTCATATTGGTTCCCCCCCACCTTTTTTTTTTTTTTTTTAACGTGTTGGTCCAGTGGACGTAAGGAGTGCAAAGGCGACCTGCAGTACTACCCCTTCCGAATGACTCCGTACCTGATGAAAGTCCAAGTGGCAGCACACGCCGAGGACCAGTTCTGCTGCCTCCTCCTGGCCGAGAGGGTTCACTCGGGTTATGATGGTAAGGACCTTGACAGAAGTGCACACATTTTTTTTTTACTTGTGGTCCACTGAAGGGCAGATTACATTGAAATGGCAGCACTGGAATCTGACTGGGCAAAAATCGAACATCCCAGCACACACAGTGGAAGCAGTGCAGCTGAGAGAAACATGACAAATTCTTTGGAATGAATGAATATGAATTCATGGAACAATTCGAAACAACATTCATTATTAATAGAGGTTAGCGTTGCTAATCAAAGTCTGTGTTTTACTGCGCAGTTAACTGTCACCATGTTTTCCACAGCACCCCGGATTCCGACAGATAAGCGCGTCTTCACCACCACGCATTCTCCAAGTTGCGTGTTCCAGGATGTGGATGAACGGTAAGTCGGACATTCATGATCTTTTCCGATTCTATTTCGCAGTCACTCAACCTCAACAGGAAACGGTGGGAATTTTCTTCCTGGCTTTGATCAGACGTTGACTTAAACCGATTTTGTTTCACGCATCCATCCATTTTGTATAGTCTTTGTTTTCATTGGGTGGCAGGTGACTTTGGTAAACCCTGCCACATGGAGACAAACAATTATTGACTTTCATAGACATTGATACCCGTCTCGTGGAAGCTTGTGATTATGTTTTAAGTGTACATCATGTGCTGTGCGTGTGTATTTCAGAGCCGTTCCTCTCCTGGGTTACCTCCCCCAGGATCTGATTGGCACATCGGTCCTCCTCCACTTGCATCCTAACGACAGACCCGTCATGCTGGCCATTCACAGAAAGAGTGAGTACTTGACATTCGCCAAAAACCGAATGCAACACTTTCACACGCTGTGCATATTAGATGTCATCATGATGTCATGATTTGTCACTGTCAAAAATTATTTTCTTACAATTTGGACTAATTGCACAAATATTACTGTCGCATAATTAAACTATAGGTTACTTGCCATATACCGGCAAGCAACATCTTAATCTTCAGGGTTTTCCATCTTTAGATTAGATTAAAATATCGTTTTTAATTCCTCCTCCATCCTGCTCTTTGTATTTGTTTGTACTCGGTTGTTTGTTTCTGTATTTGTATGAGTGTACCTATGAATAAATCTAATTTAATCTATCAACTAAAATAATCTTGTAAAATCTGCCCAAAAGTCACGTGATATGTTGCCCTCTCCACAACCAGTCCTCCAGTATGCCGGGCAGCCGTTCGATCACTCGTCGATCCGATTCTGCGCACGCAACGGTGAATACGTCATGCTGGATACCAGCTGGTCCAGTTATGTCAACCCCTGGAGTCGCAAGGTCTCCTTTGTGATCGGGAGACACAAAGTACGAATGTGAGTTCTTGCCTTTTGAAGATTGCAATGATGTCAAGGTAGAAGTACGATCCTTGTGTGTGTTTTATTTCCTCACCTAGTGCTCATACTGAGAATAAGGAAAACAAATAACGTTACAAACGTTCTTTGCCAATAATATAAACAAAGTATTTGTATTTTGTTACTTTCCATCACTGATAAAATACGTCACCAATTTGTAGCTGGTAATCTGTTTCATAAAACTTGTTTTGTTTTGTTGGACCCCCCCAGGGGCCCTGTAAATGAGGATGTATTCATGGCCCCGCTCTCTGCTGGAGCCGAGTCAAAGACCATGGACTCGGACATCCAGGAGATCACTGAGCAGATCCACAGGCTCCTTCTGCAGGTGAGAAACGATAAGGAGGTTCCACAAGGCTGACTACTCAGTCCTCTCATTTTTACAACAAGCACAACCTGAATGTCAAAATTGCCTGGGATTGTGGTGAAACTACTGGTGTTCCACAAGTCTCAATGATAGGTCCACTCTACATGTAAATTATTTGCTGGTCCTGTAGGAAAGCTAAATAAATTAAATAGCTACTGTACATTACATGAGGTCCTCTGTTTTATGACGGCTCTGTCTGTCCTTCAGCCGGTTCATAACAGTGGGTCCAGTGGCTACAGGAGTCTGAACAGCACCGACCACCTCCTGGGCATGACCTCCTCTAGCGAGAGCCTCAACAATGGCACCAAGTTCCACCAAGAGGACGATGAGGAGGAAGAAGTGAGCAGCAAAGCCCGGCCGGTGAGTTTATGTCCATTTTACACAGTGGACCCAACTGGGAACAGGATTAAGGTCTTGTTGGTTTCACATTGGGCAAGGTATGGTAACATTTTAAATGAAACATCAGCTGCAATCTTTTCATGAAAGTGCAACATTAATAGTTTGGTTTGTATTTTAAGAAGGATGCAATCAAAATTAACAAGTTATGTCATCCTAATTGCATTGGTGCCATCTTTCGGCAGCTATACGCAATAGTTTTGATCACAAGTTGAGAAATTTAATGCCACTCTCTCTTGGAACACTTAAAATAATGTGGACCAAAACGACTAACTTTTCTTTTTTCCTTCTTTTGGTAGCGAACCTTCCAGGAAATCTGTAAAGGAATTCATCTCCAGAAGCACCAGGAACAGTGCAAGAAAATCAATAGCAGTAAGTCGAGAATCCCGACCTGTTCTATTTGGACCGATCCTGCCTTGCGTTCACCCCTTAACTCCCTCACTTTAGTCGAGTCTGCTCAGAAGAACCCGGCAGTGGTGAGGCCCAAGGACTTGTCGGCCTTACTCAGCTGGAAGGAGAGCGCCCCCCCGATGGAGGAGAACCGATCCTCATCCCACGAGGAGATGCCACTCAATGACCAGACGGTCTACTCCTACCAGCAGATCAGCTGTCTAGACGGTGTTATCAGGTACGAACAGCAGATGACAACTATTGATATATCCATTCTGGTGCCGATAGTATATCGGTTCTTTTCTAATTATTATGATCAATCAAACTGCAGGTACTTGGAGAATTGCAATGTTCCCTTCGCTCTGAAGAGGAAATGTCAATCCTCCTGTAACACCACGTCCTCTGACGAGGACAAACACAAAGTCGGCGCCACAGTCCAGGCTTCTCAAGGTATGTCCCACTACGTTACCTCCATAAAAATTCAGAGTAAACAATACCAATGTATGAAAAAGTCATTTTTTAAAGGCCTTCACAGCCTTACTTTAAAAGCAAGGGTGTCCAAACTGTGGCCCGGGGGCCTGGAAATGACGTCACGCGTGCCCGGGGCTCAGGTAATGACCGATCGCAGTCATGTGAAGCTCGCAAACTGAGCCGCGATTGATCGTTACCCGAACCCTGAGCACATGTGATGTCATTTTCAGTCGAAGAGTAAACAATGCCAATGTATTAAAAAGTCATTTTTTTAAAGGCCTTCACAGCCTTACTTTAAAAGCAAGGGTGTCCAAACTGTGGCCCGGGGGCCTGGAAATGACATCACGCGTGCCCGGGGCTCAGGTAATGACCGATCGCAGTCATGTGAAGCTCGCAAACTGAGCCGCGATTGATCGTTACCCGAACCCTGAGCACATGTGATGTCATTTTCAGTCGCAGCAAGTGGCAAAATGCATTTCGAAGGAATATGACACCAAAAAAAAAAAAAAAATCTTTGCTTTTTCACCTCGTACACCAAACTAAGATTGAGTTTTTCTTTAAACATGTTCACGTTTGCTACACAAAATGGATGGAGTTGATGTTTATACGTTGACCCTAAAGCATCTTGAATTGGTTTTAACATGTGGAAGCCCCGCCCCCCTCACCTTCATTCCCTCCTTTTTACCTGTACGTTGTCCTGAGGAGCAAAAGTTTGGACATCCCTGCTTTAGATTCTTCTTTTCTCAGACTCTGCAAAAACGGCAGTCCCATATCAGCATTTTTTTCTTTTTTTTTTTTTTTTTTTTTTTTTTGTTGTCCTCTGTTCTCTTTGGCAGAACCGGCCTTGTTGAAGGATCAGCACGGTCTCTCCACTTTGGATGACCCCGATAAAAAGTCCAGTGACGCGGCCAGAGCGGTAGTGGGCACTTCGCTGCCCCTACCTTTACCTAACAAGCCAGAAAGCGTGGTGTCCATCACCAGCCAGTGTAGCTACAGTAGCACCATAGTTCATGTTGGGGACAAGAAACCTCAGCAAGAATCAGGTACAGTGCAGCGAAAAGGATCAGCCTCCTGTCGTTTTTTTCTCTTTTGATGCATATTTCCTCTCTTCTTGCGTTTTTATGCTTTCATAATTGATTAGTTCATCTTTATTATTCATTATTATTAAATACATTACGCATTATAAAATGGTGTTACATTAGCATGTCATTATTTTTAAATTAGAATACAATCTTTTTTTTCATCAGAATAATTAGTTTTGAATAATTCATTATGTAATAATTATTTTACGTTATTATATATTTCAAATATCCTGAATTTTTTATTTCATTACCGTACTGTGGCGCCTTGAGTTTCATTTGTTGGCAGCTCCAAAAAAAAATAAAAAAAAAATCTCCAATCACCTTTCCTCTGTGAAATGTAGCTTCCCTAAGATACGCAACTAAAATCTTTGTAATGTAATTCCCAATCTTAAAAATAGCCCTCTGTAATATATAAAACATCAAATTTAATTGTTTTTCTCCTTTTAATGGGCATTGTTCTGCTCCTTCCTGGAATGTGCCTTGACCACCTGTGGGGAGGAGACGGTCACTACGACTCATTAATCTGCAGTAATGCGGTATTATTTCTTTGCAGAGGATAAAGAACGTATGCCTCTTGAGTATTTTTACTTGTTTCCCCACAAACTGTCCAAATACAAGATCCCTCCATAATTATTACCACCTCTGGTTAAGAAGTGCTAAAAGACTTATAATAAATTCACTTCTTATTGCAGAAGCAGACTCCCACTTTGAAAATTGTAGGTGTTGTTTTGTTGGCAAAGGGGCTAGTGCAAAGTATTATTGGGGCTGCAAATAATTATGGCACGCATGATCGATGTAAAATAATTCTTTATTCATATGGGATTGTTTTCCACTGAATAAATGCACTTGCCAAAAATTATAGAGGGCAGTTTATCTGTGACTGTGAATGTTAAAAAACATTGACACCAATGCTATTTGTTAGCCCATCTATGGTATTTAGCTTTTTTTTTTTTTTTTGGTTTTAATTCACTGTGAGCACAACATGCGATGCGCTTTGTTTTATGTTTAGCTTGATAGCATACTTCAAGCGGGAGCGGCAATAAACCGTTTCAAGCCTGTTTTTGTTCATTTCCAAATTGAGTTCACTGCCACCAAAATCAGTGGAGCAACACAGGTCACTTTAACCTAAGGCGCCACTTTAATGGTTCTTAAAAAGATAATAATAATAATAATAATCAATGGGCATTCTCATCTTTGTCAAGAGGACATTTTCGACACGGCTCCTGTGAGAGAAATATGCAAAAAAACGAGAAAAGCGAGGAGATGATCTTTTTTTCACAGCACTGTAAATGCATCTGCATTTTATGTTACTCTTTACTGCACATTTGCATGTTGATGATGTGATCAAAACCAAGGAGTAAGGGTCATAAAGATGAAAGAAGAAAAAAATATAGATCTATTTTTACATTGAGTACGATATGACGTCCGGCAGATATTCTGATCACAGGATCAACGTGATGCATTTGTGCTTCCTCCAGATTTCTCTCTTGTCTCTCTGAGTGTGTGCATGCGTAAGTTGTGGTCGAGTTTTGTGTCCAACATTCTTTCCACTGTCTTCCAGTCTGCTATGATTGTGCGTGCTAACTCAATCAGCTAATTTCTTTGGATTTTATCTGGATTCCCTAAGCGTTATCGGTCCTCTGTCATCCATAGAGATCACAGAGGATGTGTCAGGGGCGGGTGAAGTGGCAGAATGCAGCCACAACCCGGCACAGGCGCCTCCATCTTGGGGTGTTTCGCCTCGGGGCCAAGAAAGGGAGTCGTACAGGAAACTGGGTTTGACCAAGCAGGTTTTGGCAGCCCACACGCAGAAGGAAGAGCAGAGCTTCCTGATTCGCTTCAAGGAATTGCGCAGGCTCACTGCCCTCAAGGCCAACTGTTCGCAGTACCTGGAGCGGCAGAGAGAGAAAAACACTGATGGTAACAAAAATGAAAAAAAAATCAAGCATCACTCAATGAGCTGACGTATGAGCATTTATAGTTCAAAAAAAAAACTTGACGGGCTGTTGATTTCCTTCCTCCCAGGTGCACAAGCCGCCCAGCATAGGAAGCAAAACGGCCTGGGGTCTGAGCACAACGCGGCGCGGCGCAGCGCGCGCAACAGAAAGACCAAATCCAAGCGAGCCAAGCAGACCGAGTCCTCGGACAGCACCGCGTCTTATCCGAGGCACCAGCAGCCGCGAGGTCCCCCGCTGAACCAAGCCCTCAACCCCACATCCTGGTCCGTTTCCGACACGTCGCAGTCCATGTTGCCCGTAGCCTACCCAGGGTACCCCCTCCAGGTTTTCCCCAGAGACGCTTCTGTTGCGCCCCACGTGAACACCCCTCTGCAATGTTTCGGTGACAAACAAGGGGCTCCTCCCTGCCCACCAGGAGTCCCTCATTCGCCCTACACAGCACCGATGGTGGCTCCCATCATGGCTCTTGTGCTGCCGAATTACCTTTACCCAGCCTTGGGTCCCGGACCTCCGCAGCCGGCGTACCAGCTGGGGACTGATGCTTTCCCCATCCAAGCCCAACCTTACGCCCAGCCCGCCTTTCCGGGACAAGCGACCATAATGACTCCTGCCCCGTTCAACCCTCAGAGCCCCTTTACCCCTCAAATGGGCTACGTGGCGCCGTCGTTCTACTTCCCCCCGGCCACTTCAGAAGTTCCCAAGGTCCCGGTGGTGGCGGGCCAGTCTCGTGCCTCCACGCCACAGTCCGCTTCGCCGCCGCTGTTCCAGTCCCGCTGCAGTTCTCCTCTGAACCTCTTGGAGTTGGAGCTCTCCGGGGACCGGCAGGACGGCACAACGTTGCCCTCCGCGGGACAAGGCGGCAATGTGGCCGAACGGGAGAAAGGGGCGGCAGGGACCCCCCAGGCCAAAGAACTGAATCAGGTATGTAAGGAAACAGCAGAACTTTGCCCTCCGCAACTCCCTCAATGCAGTTACCCCCGCTACATCGCGGGGGCTATTTTTCAGACCCACCCACATATGGGGAAAATCTGCTTATATTGAGCATATCGGGGGAGGGGGGGGGTGTTCCGTCCCTCTCACATGCTTTCAAAATATTTCAACTTCTTGAAACTCACTTTTTTAACCACATTGTAAACTGTAAAGACCCCTAAAAAAAAGTCGCTTCAAACCGCCTATTTCTGCGATATAGCGGGGAACACTGTATGTAGCCATTCTTGGTGTGTACGTACCTGCCTGCAAGTCACCAATGTTGGGCCTGCTGAGCCCGTGAGAAACTTTCCACCTCTCACTGAAGTGACTGTCAGATTTCTGTGCTGTGTAAAAGCCAAATTTGGTCCCGAGCTCCATGTGGGTGTTAACACGTGATGTATTATGCCTTACACCCTTTAGCCATCTCTCAGTCTCCTTGGTCCACCTGGACCGTTGTATTGCGAGGGCACGATCCATGTCTGTGAGCGTTTGTCTTGGGATAAAGGCATGTTCTCTTCTAGGCTGAGGGCTTGCAGCAGTGAGGTAGGCTGACCGTCCGAAAAGCTTCCATCCTTGTCCAATCCCATTCCCGCTCAAATTCCATATGTCCGTGAAAGCTCTCAACTATATCGCTTTTGCCCATCTCACCCAAACGTTGTTGACTTCTGCTGTAAACTCTTGATTTATGCCCCACAACCTCTTCTTCGTAGTTGAAGACATTTCATGGGACGGTAAACTGCCATGAAGAAGATTAGCATCTCTTGTAGGACTTGTATTGTTGCTAAAATGGTCTGACAGTGTTCATTTAGAAATGTCAGAACGGTAAGAAATGCACTTTTGTGCTTGTAGATTATCAGAGATGGGCACTTTACCCTATTTTGCCGGTCCGTCCTCAGTCTGGATACCCTCCCGTCATCGCCCTCGTCATTTTAAAACGCTGCCGGGGGGGTCTTGGTGGTCAGGCACCGAGAGACATACAGCACAGCCAGCTTTCTTTACTGGCTGGATTGATCCTTTGTGAAATGGGAGTCTGTCGATACTTTATGTTCTCTGACTGTACACTAGGTGGCAGTGTTGCTCTAAAAACACGTTGAGATGAAAAAGGAAGGTTCTGTAAAAGCGACTAAGTGAGTCACGCAAACTCGTGTTGTCCTGTTCATAGCCTGAAATGAAAATCTAGTGGTTGGCTACACTCTGGCCTAATTTTGCCTCCTGACACCACATACTTAACCCGGTTAGGGACGAATAAAGGGCCGGATAAAAACCCACTTCCATCCTTGCTTAGTGCGTCCGTTTGGAAAAAAAACCTTCTCATCCTCCAACCCCAAAATGGGCGTCCGTCCGGGACAGATGGACGGACCATTCCGTCCCAGGGACGGAATGCCCATCTCTGTAGATTATTTGACAGGGAATTATTGTTCCGTGCTGTTCTTATGAACGATGGCATGAATGTGTTTTTCTTTGTCACGCACTACTTGCTAATTTTATTTTCCGTTCTACTAGTAAAACACTTAGTGGCTTTTTATGGTGTCATTGAAGACTCAGACTTCTTTCAGAGCAGGTGATGTTTACCCCCTTGGCATCCAGGCTGCAAATGAATGGCGCAAAGCCACCACTCCAATCCACCCATTCAAAAAAATGTAGTGTCTTTTTGGAGACTTCTGTAGACACTGAGACTCTAAAGCGGGAAATGTTTACACTCCTCAGCGTCCAGACTGCAAATGAATTTTGCAGATCCACCAATAGCTAATGCAACCATAGAGGTGGGCAACTACATTTCAAGAAAGCGATAAGATACAAATCTCGCTTTTTGGGGGGAGGGGAAAGAGACGCTGGAGATGTTCACGCCTCTGCGTCCAGACTGCAAATGAATGGTGTGTGTGTGCCCCACTGTATTTTATCTGCCCACTGGGCATTTACATTTGGTCCAGTAGTATAAAGTATTTGTTGCATTGGTTTCGGTAGTCCACCCCCACCCAAAATTGGCAAATTAAAATGCAGAAATTAATTTAGTGGGGGCCCAAGACCGGTTCTCAAGATCTCCTCCAACACATCTGATTCAAGTGATCACGATCATTATCCGGCTTCTGCAGAGCTTGCAGATGATCCGATGATCTGAAACAGGTGTTAAATGTTTTTTTGTTTTGTTTATTTGAAATACTTCATCTCCAAATAATAATGTCCGATCTATCAAAAATAAAAAAATAAAATGTGGGCACACATTCATTTAATTACACATTTGCTGGATGCTCAGGACCTTTTTACACACCCACACACACATTAAAAGCAGCACTCAATGTACGTATTTCCATTGACTTGTAATTTTAGGATGCAGCACCGAGATGTCGACATTGTCACTCAGCGTCTGATCATCCGTGTGTTTTTGTGTGTATGTATGTGTGTGTGTGTGTGCGCGCGCGCGTGTGTGTGTGTGTGTGTGTGTGTGTGTGTGTG